CACTTACTTTCGACTTATATTAGTACTAATCTTTCCAAGCAGAGGCATAGATACACCATACTTTCTAATGTTGTAGAATCTCCCATATGAGCAGAATCATGCGCAAGAATTTGGAGGTACTCTGACCAATTCTCAGTACCCAAGAATAGCAAATGTTCTGCTCATGCTCACTGAGCATGCTGGTATTTGTTGAGCCTAGTTTGGCTCAAGATAGAGATCATATTCCTATCACATGGTGCGCACACGTTCCTGACAATAACAGCAATATATACCTCAATTACGGTAGAGATATGTCTACTTATACTACTTACAGGACCAGGAGGAGAAGCGGTCAATGGGCGCCTAAACACGGGCGTTCGAATATTTTCCGCGACCACGAGTACAACGGAGTACCAAACACAATCGTCACTCGGGGTCGCACTAGTTGTCTTTGTTGTACGAAGGTAGGCGATACTACTACCAATTGCATGCTTCCGACTCTCTGCGATCCCGAATCACGCCTACTTATCAGGCGAGCTACACTCCGCGTCGTATCCGGGTCCGACACCGCCGACGGTGAGCAATCTACTATCTCGTACGGACCGGTCTAGACGTCTTCTGCGGGTCGCCCCTTAAGTATGCCCCCTGGCCCCCTCGTCGTCGTTGCAGCCCTATAGCGCTTCGTCTGTCTCGTGCCTGCTCAGCGTGGATATCTATGCAATAAAACAGCGCTTGGAGCAGACAACACAGCCTCAAGTCATTTCTCAGTCCATACAGCACGCTGCACTTCAATCCATCTTCGTAGTCGAGCTAAAGCGATGGCTGAGGCTCCCAAACTCCTTACGCCCTACTTACCTATATTCCACCTGCCTAGATGTAATCGATCCCAACATCTCTACGATCCTAGGAGCCTGGAACAGCTCCATTCTCAAGCCGAATGACAAATGGCTCCGCTGCGTTGCGCTCCGTCCAGACATCCCTAACTTTCGCGCGAAGCTCCCCATCGAGCTTTAGCTCTGGACGTCGATTATCTGTTCCAGGTACACAATCGTTTGCAAGTGGCGACGAATGCTTCATAGACTGATACCAACGGTGGCGCCTGGCCCGTTCGCGTCCTCAGTATCAACAATCAACACTTTTAGACAGAACACTTACTAGACAGCCAGGCGGTTTGATGTAGAGCAGAGCGAAGCGACGCGCGGTCGACCCACGTTATGGCCGACGCCGCTGCCATATCGAAGGACCTCAAAGCACGTCGGGGCGGACGAGATACGGGCGGCTAGTCTGCCCCGGTCGGGGATTACAATATTAATCGCAAGTCACCAAAGTCGGCTGACCACGACAGACAGTGGGACCTTCCTTTATGCGCAGCTGCCGTCATTGCGTGTGCGGGTGGCACAGACGACTTCTGCGGATTATATGAAGCTATAAATGTTTGCCTAGCAAGCGACCTGGGACTATAACCCAGCATCTTCCTTTGCTATCCCAAGTCACCATGCCATCATACCTTGTAGCTGGTGCTTCTCGCGGGATCGGTCTCGAGTATGTCCTCCAGCTTGTAAGCACGATTTCTACTGGGCTCAAACCTGTCAACCTGTAGCTGATGCATTTCGCACTTACTAGGCCAAACGGGCCGATGCCGTGGTCATCGCTCTCGTCCGCAACCCGACCAAATCGACCCATCTTACTTCTGCCATTGCAGATCTCAAGAACGTCCATGTAGTGGCAGGTGACGTGACCGACTATCGCACGCTAGAGGTCAGGTTGACATCCACAATCTTCTGCCATGCCGTTTTTCGCTCATGCTGCATGTCTTGTACAGCTTGCCTCAAAGCAGGTGGGAGAAATCACCGGCGGGAAGCTAGACTACTTGATCCACAATGCTGCCAACTTGGACATGTCCACTTTTTTCAAAGGATTCGACGACTAGTGCGTACTCTTCTTGATCGATGGCAGCTAATCTCATACTTGGCGCAGCACTGATGTGGAGCAACTTGACTCCGATTTCATCGATGCGGTACGGCTGGTCTGTGGTGTTCAGTTAGTACGGGTCTAACTTCGAGCTTCGCTTGGTAGTTCAAGGTCAACAGTCTTGGTCCTGTACACAGCATCAGGGCGTTCCTACCCCTCCTCCGCGCATCCTCTACCAAGAAGATTGTCGTCATTGGCACAGCAGGCGCTCTCCCCGAGTTCGCTCGGTTTATCGGTGTCTCTGGCACAGCGGCGTACACTATGACGAAGGCGGCGGGCCTCCTCGCGACCACGAAGTATGCGGTCCAGCTCAAGGGCGAGGGCTTTGTCGTCGTCAGTCTCAATCCAGGGCTAGTAAACACGTTGGCCACTGCCGTCAATGACAGTGCGTTGCTTCGAGTCGATAGCGATTTCTGTTGAGCGTGAGCTGATGTGTTCTCTTAGGCGCTGCGACAGCAGCAGCCATTGAAGGCATTGAAACCTTTCAACGCAAAGCGAACTCGTCTGGCTACGCCATCAAGACGCTGACGCCCGAGGAATCGGTTGTAGCTCAGCTGAAGGTCATTGATGCGCTTACGCCTTCCGACAATGGCTTGTTCCTTGACTACACGGGCGGAGAGGTGAAAATAACTACTTGAGGGCCCCTTTTGTACGAGTATATTCGCACCATCGAACAATGCCGCCAGGACATTGCTCCCGTTATTCCGCATGAAGGTGAACTGGCGCCTCGACGAGGAGCTAGACCTCGGACTGCACGAGCCTGCGTGGGGACTGAAATTCTGGGCTGGCTTCTACCAGGTGCGCTGTACTGCACATATGTTTCCAAGTCGCGACGCATGAAAGTCTACGTAGGTCGTTAGGCAGGGTGATTATTACTTGTCGTCCGATATCGAGCGCTGTCTCGCGGTTAAGGGTAGTGCAAACGTAAATTGCGACAGTGCCCAATACAACTGGGTGTTCATGAGCACTATACAATGACGAGGGATGTCTTCGTGCATAAGCCTGCAGCTTAGCCCTAAATTTATATCGACCAAACGCAGACAGGCGAACTCCTTATATATACGATAGGCGCCACCTATACGTCGACTCCAGTGTACGCACCTCACCTTGTTTGGGTTGACGAATAGCGGTACTTGGTATAGCCTGACTTAGCCCTGAACACACTGAATAGCATGCATGATGTCCTGAAACAGACGACCAAACAGAGTCTCTACATGTCCTAGCTGTGCAGCCCCATTCACCATTTTGTCAAGTACAGAAGAGTAGCATCCTAATAATCCATAAATACCCAACACGTTCATGGCTTGAACGCATTCCAAGCCTCGTTCAGTGTTCCGAACACCCCATTGGCGATCATCCGCTGCTCCAGTGTCGTGTTCCTTACATTGAGCTACAGCCGACCGTCAATCAGCATCTCACTAGATGCTGTCAGGCAGAAGAATCTGACGCACCTTGTCTGGATGCAGCTTTGCGATCGCCTTCGTATATCGAATCTTCACCTGGCTCGGGCTCACCAGCTCGTGGATCCCGACCTTCTGCCACCCAAGTTCCGGCCAGAGCACCGTGTCGAGGCTGGCGATCAGCGCGCGGATGTTGTTCTCCTTGCCCGCCTTCCAAGCGCCCAGCTTCGCGTCCACGACGTCCTTGAGCTCGTACTTCTGCTGGTCCTCCGCCTCCGCTGCCCGATTCTGTGCCTGCACCCTGTTCAGCGCCTCTGACGGCGGCGTCGGTACCCTCCCCTTTGGCCTCGGGGCTTGCTTCGTAACAGCGGGCTTCGGTCTGGGCGGGGCGGTGGCAGTCGACGCCCCAGTATCGACATCAGTATTGATCATGCGACGACACCTCCCGATGCCCGTGACGGCCTCCGCCCTCGCGCGCCCCGCAAAGTCCGACCCGGCGACAAACTCCCAATCCGCCTTAGCGAGATCCCACTTCTCCTTGCCCTCGTACGCCTCCGCGCGCCGTCTGTAAGCCTTGACGAGCCCGTCGGCGAGGTCGACGCCCGCGCCCTCGTCCTCGCGTGTGACCTTCGCCTCGCGCGCGGGGTGGTACCCTTCCCCGATGAGCGAGATGACGGCGGTGCAATCTTCGATCGCCCCGGAGGCATCCCCAGTCTTGAGCCGAGTGAGCGCGCGGTTATTGAAGAGGGGAACGAGGAGGAGGTGATTCGCGGGGAGGGCGGTGATCGCGGCAGTGTAGAATGCCTCAGCTTCGCCGTATTGGCCTAGCTTGAACTTCTCTGTGCCCAGGGCCTTCTGCTGAGCTGAGGCGGAGATGGCAGACGCCGACGCGGAGACACAAGTGCGCTGAGTGAGCGTAACTGGGGAAGGGGCGCGGGGTGGAGTAGGCCTTGACGGAGCAGCAGCAGGAGAAGGGGCCGAGGATGAAGCTCCGGACTGCGCGCGCGAGGGAGTCTTGCGGCGGAACGGCGAGACGTAGACGGACGGCGCATCGTCTGCGAAGAGACTGGCTGTCTTGAAGCGCGACGCAGGGCTCTCCGCGGGCTGCTGTGGAGGCTCCTTGGCGCGTGGCGGGGGCTGCCTCCGTTGTGGAAGGCTAGGCTGAGACGCCTCTTCGTCGTCGAAGTCTTCGAACCGACCAGCACTTCCTCCCTTGACATCCTCTGGCACATGCCCGTCGTCAGGCGCGTCCTGCATCCACTTCGGCCTGGCCTTGTTGCGTGAGCTGTCCGCAGATCCCTGCCGCGAGGATCCTGCTCCGGCGGCAGCGGCAGCAGCAGCTCGTTCCTCGTACACACGCTGAACACGTTCCTTGCCTTCCTTCCAGAACGCGTTCGCGCGCGAGAACATACTCAGCCCAATCTCGCTCGCTTGCGCAATGAACTTGTCCGCCTGCTCCTGCAAGTTTCTTTGGCTGTCCGACGAAGGCGAAGTCCCGTTCTGTTCCACGCGCTCTCTTGCAGGCCGCTGCTGCTGCTGCTGTGGGGGACGAGCGGCAGGGCGACGCTGGGGCTGACGGAGGCCATCGTCTTCCCCGTCTGAACCGTAGTACCGCTCGTGCCCCGGTTCGCGCTGTGCTCTCCGTCGGCGCTCTTCCTGCTGTTCGGGTGCGGGAGAGGAGGCGGCCCCGTTCGCGAGGAGGTTCTCAATGGCGGCCTGGACGTCAAGGCCGGTGTCGGTAGCTGCGAGCGCAATGCGAGCTTGTTGCACGGAGAAGCCCATCTCGACGATCTGACCGAGCAGATGCGGAGGCGGGGATACAGCGCGCGATCGCTGCCCGGACTGCGGAGGCTGAGGAGACGGGGTATTACGCTCAGAGCGCCGCTGCTGACGGACTTGAGTGTCATCCAGGACACGAGATGAGCGTGACACGTACCACCTGCAACTGTTCTACAGGCTTGCCTAAGTCACCGAGAATGTCATCCTCGTCACCTGAGTGGTTGCCCAAGAGCCCGTCCTCCCTGTTTCCGAAGTCGAAGTCGCCAAGCGGATCGCCCTGCGAAGTGCTTTGGGTAACCGAAGGGCCTGCGGGAGGGCTTGACTCGAATTCATCCCAATCGAGCAGGCTTTGAGCGGTAGAAGTGGTGGTGCTCGGCTTCGGCTTCGACGTAGGGGCGGCGGGGGGTTTCGCGGCAAGCCCACTGAGCCAGTCGTCGTCTTCAGCAGGAAACTTCTGCGAAGAGGACGGCACACTGGAGAAGGAGCCGAATCCGAGGTCGTCTAAGGGATCGTGCGATGGCGTCGCGGGCTTGGAAGATGGAGTAATCGAAGAGCTGCCTCCCAATGCATCGAGACCAGCCCAAGCATTGGAGGCATGAGCATTGTGTACTGAAGGCTTAGTGTGCGCTGCGCGAGCCTGTTTCTCTTGCGCCGCGAGAGCAGCCCGTTGAGCAATCGTGAGGTTCGCGCCATTCGAGGAAGGCCCGGAAGAGAGTGATCCCGAGAGCAGTCCACTGAACACATCTCCGCCTCCCATTCCGCTGGTGTTGAATCCAGTGCTGTTTGCCTTCTGGACAGGCCGCGCAGAAGCGCTACCTCCGAGCGAGGTTGGCTGGGACGGGTTGGAGGTGCGAGCATTGACTGATGACGACGAACCTGCGGCTGCGAGCATAGAGAAGACGTCGTTTTGCGGCTTGCGCTGCGCGGTTGACATAGGTGCTGCCGCGGCCATCGCACCTAGTTTCCGAGGGAGTTCAGCAGGCTTGGATGCCCCCGTCGAGCTCCAGAGATCGGCAAATGCGTCTGACATGGCGTGAGCAGCTGCGATCGGTGGTAGACCAGCTAGCGACCTCTGTGAAGAACACCAAAGAGAGTCAATAGAGAGCAGTATGCCGTGATATGTGGTGAGATAGAAGCCGGGGATGCACAGGAGAAAAGAAGCAGATGCTGCGCGAGTATGTACTGGAGTTCACATCGACCGAGAACTTGTGCCCAAGTGCCGACCTGTCGCCAGTGCGTCTCGAGAAATGATATGCACAGGCGTAGTTCCCGATCTGGGTCTGGGCCGTCGGTCGGGCGCTCCGAACGAGGCGCGGGACAGGCCGGGAACTTGTTCGGCGCTTGAGGTATTGGTCCGACGCGGTCACGGCTCCACAGCGTGCTCTACCGCGGATGCTCTCCCGACGCCTCTCTCACTCAGTCTCGCAACATCTTGACAGCTTCAAATGTTCTCGTAGAGCTTACTTGACTCCGCCCAAATACACTGCCAAAAATGCGGGGGGCCCTCCCAAGAAACCGACGGACCCGGCCGAGAAATCAGCGGTTGTACTCAAGGAAGTAGCTGACCAGGCCAATGCGGCGGGCCCAATCAAACCAGCTGAGTCAAGTGGATGGGTGAATGGACTGGTCAAAGTGAAGGTGGACCCAATCAAAACGGTAGAACCGGTCAAATTAGCGGCCAAACCATACTATGTAACAACGCCAATATTCTATCCTAATGCTGGTACGCGTAGCTCCTTTGGTGTGTGCCAGGAAGATTATCATCTCGATCACATACAGCTCCCCATATCGGTCATCTACACAGTCTAGTTATTGCTGACATCTATGCGCGGCATGCCAGGCTTGTAAATCCCGACAGACCAGTATACTTCGTCACAGGAACGGATGAGCATGGGCTCAAAATCCAGAAGGCCGCTCAGGAGAAGGGGATGGACCCTCAGGAATTCGTTGACGAGCTGAGCGTACACTTCCGCGTGTGTCTTGCGTCCGTTTCATCGCTTGAATTCGCGAATGCTGAAGTTGCGGCCACCAAGGTAGAACCTCACGAAGAAGGCTAACATCAGCAACACGCATTTCACTCGCACCACATCAAAGCAGCATATTGACGCAGTCCAGCATCTATGGGTATGTTCCTCCCTATTACTCATGTGCGCACGTAGGCCGACCAGCACGCGTTCCATAGAAAGAGCTGGAGGCGAAGGGCTACATCTACAAGGGCCGTCACGAAGGCTGGTACTCCGTCTCCGACGAGACGTTCATCCCAGAAAAGCAAATTGAAGGGAGCCACCGGACACAGAAAGACGGCGCCGTTGAACACACGGATGAGCGCATCTTCTGGTACTCGGAGGAGAACTACATGTTCCGCCTTTCCGCCTTCCCGGACCATATATACGAGTATTACGCCGCGCGCGGGGCAGATGCGATCCATCCACACACCCAGGCCTCGGACGTTCACCTCATGTTGAAGGGCATGATGCATACCCGCCGCCCGTCGTTTGATGACTTGTCTATATCGCGTCCGCGGTCCCGACTCTCGTGGGGTATCCCCGTACCCGGCGACCCGGAGCAGACGATTTACGTCTGGATCGATGCTCTCGCCGCCTACTTGACCTCTGTGGGCTACCCGTGGTCGTCAACGGGTGGCGACGGAACTGCTGCGGGTTGGCCTCCCGACTTGCAAGTCATCGGGAAGGACATCATCCGGTACGTCTCTTAGATATCACAGATCGAACTCACGCTGTTGACGCTTTCCTGGCTTCCAGCTTCCACACGCTGTACTTCCCAGCGATGCTACAAGCCCTCGGGCTACCCCTCCCGGTCCAGCTGCTGTCGCACGCGCACTGGACGGTCGAACGTGCCAAGATGTCCAAGTCGGTGGGTAACGTCGCAGACCCCATCAAGGCCATCGATGACTTCGGCATCGACCTCGTCCGGTACTACCTTGCACGCGTCGGCGGCCGCTTCCAAGATGACGTCGGTATGTTCCCCCCGCCTATCTTCCTGTGTTGCTTGTGTTGCGCTTTGTACATGCCATGGACTGATGAATGTGGGCTGCGGTAGACTGGTCGCAAAAGCAGCTCCAGAAGCACAGCAGGGAGATCATCTCGCTTCTCGGGAACCTTTTCATGCGCGCGACGTCCGACAAATTGATGGGGAAGGTCTCGACGGTCAAACCGCGCGAGCTGTCGCTCGTCTCCGAGTCGCAGGGGTCCGAGGCGTTGCTGCAGTCTTTAAAGACTCTCGCGCCCAAGTTTGACGTCCACCTCCGCGAATTCGAGCTCGCGACCGCCGTCGAGGCGGTCGTTGCTGCGTTGTCAGAGGTATATGCTCTTCTTCCTGGACCTTGCGCTACCATACTAACTCGTTGGTTAGGCGAATGCGCTTATGACACAAGCAGCCCCCTGGGCGAGGGAGACATCGCCCTCCGTCGCGGCCGACATCCAAGCGCTCGTCTTCGAGACCCTCCGCCAATCCGGGATTCTCCTCCAGCCGATCATGCCTGACACGGCCACGCTCCTCTTGGATTCGCTCGGGGTTCCTAAGGATCAACGCACGATCGCAGACGCCGTGTTTGGGAGGAGCGGAGTGGGAGAGGTGCGACCCGGGGTGAGGTTGTTCGATATGGGGTCGTTGAAGTTGAGAGCGTGATGGAGAATAATACGCGCTTTGGTCCTCTGTGCCCTGTGGTAGCGAAATGTTGCTGGTTAATTGTTCTACGTCATAGGTATGGCCGACGCCTATGAGTGTGAGTCAGAGTCATTTCTTCATTGTTCTCCTAATCGGGGACTGCGGCTAAGCGGATGGGCCACCCGTTATAAATCTGCGCGTTTACGTGGTCGCGAACTTGAACCTCGACCTGTACCACCGCTATCTCTCCACTACTTATCCCTCGTCTGCGTCGCACAGGGCGAAGGTCACCATTTGGACATCGTGCAGAGTATCGTGACCAGTCCGGTATAGTAGTCCCCGGCGCATTTATTGATAAGTTCGCACACCGTTCTGCCCTGCGTTCACTAACGGCGGCATTGACTGACAACATTTGCAGAGCAGTCAACAAGTCACGACATCCTCGGGGGCATTGCTTGAAATCTCAAGTTCCGAGTCAAAATGGGTCAAAATTGGTATATGTATGTATTTACTATCAATGTCACTATGCGCCACAAATTCAAGTCTATGTCCCTCACGGTTGAAATGTTTCAGAGTCAATGTTGACCGCCGAGAGACGGGACTCGGAGGCGGGGCCAAGCTGGGCGAATTCTTCTTTGATGACATGAGGGATCTCTACGACTCTCTCCGCTATCCCTATCTGCCCAAGTACGTTGCCCATCAGTCGATCAACCACGAATTGCTTTGGTTGGACTAAATGTGTGAAATAGGGACGTTGACAAGTGGCTGTCGCGTGGTTCTTTCGCTCTGCAGCCTGGACCCCTGGGCAAATTGTCGAGGGAATTGCTGGACACAATATTCGAGGCGCTGCTTGAAGTTACTGAAGATGACGAGTCGCCGCCACTATTCCACCTAGTCTTGCTCTCAGTCACGTGCAAAATGCTGCTCTCCGTCGGCAAGAGTCACATCCTGCGCCAGCTCATCTCCATACATGCCCGGGCTGCCAACTGCCGCCTGGTCTGCATCGGAGAATATGCCGACGGGGAAGAACAAGCGCCGCCCGGCATGCTCACCGCCGCGGAAAGCGAGGAAATTGCGACTACTCCACAGGAGTGGGAAGAAGACGACGGCGAGGACGGACCCGACGCTGCGACCAGGGAATCGCGCACTTTTGCTGTCTTCGCCATCAATGGATATGATCAGGTTACAGAACTCCTCGGGGAGTTCAATCAGTTCCACACGCACCTTTCTTGCGAAATAAGCACTGCACATTGGGAATTGAAGGCGGCCCCGGACCCACAGCGTACTCTCGAGCTCAAGATGATCTGGAAACTCGTCGGGCTCGACACCTACAGACCCATCTACCCAGGCGGGCCGAACATCCTCTGCAACCTCTCCAAGAGTGAGTTCGTCCGCGAGGACACGCTGGTCAAGTTGATGCGTGGCTGGCATCGCGTCACACTTGCGCATGCTTTGCTATCTCGAATTTGCTGGTCGACGGAACCGGGCATCTCGATGATGTGTGGGGAGAAGTACCGTGACAGCCTTGTCCAGGGGCCATGGGCTGGAGACAGGTTCCGCATAGTCAGCGCTGACAGCATGCCGGCGCCGAAGGTGGGGACGGACTGGAAGGACGTGACGAAGGATGTGAACAGGCTGTTGCGTCACCTCTGGAGACATGAGATGGAGGACGACACTGTCCACTCCGATGATGACGAGGAGAACAAAGAGGGTAACGAGGAGAGCGGAGAGGATGGTGAGGAGAGCAGGCAGGAGGGCGAGGAGAGTGGAGAGGAGGGCGGAGAGGGAGATTGCTAGAATTGGGCTATCTCAACCACTGAACCCACAGTACCTTAACTGCCTGCATCGAATAGCTTGCTCTCCAGGCTCACCTTGCATGACAATGTTCCATGATATGACAACGCTACATCAATATACAGTACCGCGTTGTCGTCCTGTTAGCTCGTTCTATTCATTCCACTGACGGCCGCAAGCCTGTGCACTGGTAGTCTCACACTCATCACGCTTACGTCATGGAAGTCACAGCTTAGCGATTGCATATATTGTACTTGTTGTACGTCCTCCTCGACGATGTAAGTATCCTATGCAGTGTCGCTGATCCTTCCCCTAGCGATCTCGTTCTCGGAAGTCAGTTCTAAGCGAATCTCGGACAAGGGTCCTTTCAGGTGACGTCGTTCGGAGCTCTTGATGGACCTCTGCCCACATCTGTACACGTGACCTCGTCCTCGGAGGTCTAACTTGGCTTTTTCCTTCTCAAAACATTCCTGTGAGGTTCTCACTGATATTGCTAGCAAAGATGGCATTGACGCATGTGTTATGCCAGCGTTCGCTGTGGCAGACCTCCGTCGAGATCCCTTTAGATGGGTCTACGCCGACTCGGAGCGCCGCGCAAACCCACCCGGGACTTCACGCTTCAGTCGCCGACCTCCCGCAAAGCACACCGCAAATCAGGTTTCAATTGAGCCCACGCTGGCTGATCACTATACAATGCAGTACTCTCGCAGGGTAATCTTTCTCGCAGTCACCTGCAGACTGCCGCTCCCCGTCGGCAAGAGCCGCATCCTGCGCCATACGATGCCCGTCTATGCGCAAGCTGCTAAGTGCCGTCTGACTTGAGGAGGGACGGGACGCAACTAGGATGCTCACGGCCGCTGGGCGGCGCGCGAAGCTACAGGAGATTGCGACCACATACCCCACATGAACGGCAGGAAAATAAAGTGACATCAAGCAACTATGACAGTGCAGCGAGGTATCCGGTCACGTTCGCGCTGTTGGATCCACCTCGCAGTCGGACACGCGTGTCCGGCACACCAGCATGCACCCTCAATCAGACAAGACACGGGGGCCAATTGCGCCTCTGTCTCGTTGAAAACGCCTGCAGAAGCTCGCCTGCAGCTCGCCTCGGAGTAACGCCTCGAGCTCACCGCCTGGTACTGAGCATCGCTCGCGAATATATACGTCCTCATCGACCTCTACCTCTTCCCTGTCGAAGAACACGGTCTCCATATTTTTTCACGCTTCCTTAGCTTGATCCACGAGATCATCCTTCCCACTATGTCCTCACCACCCAAGAGGTCCAATACCGCGGCGCCGTCTCCTCCGCGACCCTCTTCCCCGCCCCCGGGGAAGGGGTCGATGCGAGCACGCATGTCGACTGCCATGCGCCGCGCGTCGACTGGCCTCTCGATCACCCAGGCTCTCTCGCGGACTTCCTCCAAGTCCTCTTTGAAGGACTCTCTGAAGGTGTCTACAGACTCGACGCCGGCGCCGCCCTCAGTAGAAGATGCGCGACCAGGAGTCAGTCCCGTTGCAGAATCCCCTGCCCGCGAAGAAGCCGCAAACCTCGCTGAAGGCACCACAAGTATACTTCGTCCATCCCCGCTTGCAAACGTGGTCGTGACCGAGCCGACGCCGGAGCCGACTCCAGGACCAACTCCTGCTCTGGAGCTCAGCGTCACCGCTTCTCCGGAGCAAATACCTGGCGAACTTCCGCATCAAACGCCTGTGACCCCACTGGAGGCCTTCGGCTTCGGCGACTCCATCCTCCCTACCACTACGTCGAAGCCGACTAATGTCGAAAGTCCCCAGCTGCTTCCTCAGGATGCTCCCGCGATCGGCGAGCCTGTCTCCCTTCCCGAGCTTACTCCAGCAGTCCCTCTTCCTCCGCCCACGGTGGAGCCTGAGGAACCGATAGCCCTCGAGGACGGCCGCCAGGACTACTTCTCTTACGGCGATCCAGTTGTTGCTGCAACTTCTGCTCCCCCTCCGAAGAACGACGTCACCGGTGTCTCTCAGTACGTCAGAACCTGTCTTAATTAACCCGTGAACACCGCTCATGCTATTCATTCACAGGTCCAGCCGTCAGCAAGCAGCTGCGCCGTACAGCCTCGGTGAGGGTGACGATGCCTCTGTTGCAGAGACCCTCCGCTCGGATACGGAGTGAGACTTTCCTGTTCAGCCTTCTGCGAGCATACTGATCCAGTGCTTGTGTCGACGCCCTGTCCAGACCTGTCGTTGAGCCTCGTGCAGACATCCAAAATACCCCATTTTCGTTCCCTCTCCCCCCAAGAACCATGTCATTGGTCCAGCTCGGTAAGCCATCATTGTGAGGACCGATTTGAGTATCTCATTATCTCATGTCATGACTCCTAGGTCCAGCCGTCAGCCAGTGACCTCGTTGCATGGCCCTAACAGAGTGAGTCCTGTTGCAACATACTACCCCCCGCGACAATTTCCTGACGGGTGGAGCACCGTAAGCGTTATCAATTGCTCGGTGCCGACTAACGGTGTGCTGTCCCAGCCGATCCCAGAACCTATCCCACAATCAGCTCCTCCGGCAGCTATGACTAACATGAATCCTGGAGAACAGACCCGTACTGAGCTTTCGATTCAATCAAATGCTCCCTCCTTCCTTGGTGAAAAATCGTACGGAACCATTACAACACAGTACGGTCTATGACCTGTTATGACACGAACTACCATCGTGCTCATCAATGTTGCTGAAGCAGCCGATCACTTCCTTCTCAGGCAGGTCCTCACCAACCAGCATATCCTGTGGCGTCCAGTGGTTGTGCATCTCCCCTTAACGGATATTTCGTAGCCCCTGGCCAGTACGTCGACCTGCTACAATCCCATACAAACACCCAAACGCATCCTATATAGACATGACCTGCCAATAAGCAGCGGAATATCACGCGTTGACCAGGAGCAAAGCACTTTTGTGTCGACACCTGTGCCATCTTTATTCAAGTCAGTGACGTGGTATCGTCTCTTCTCCCCTATCCGATTATCTGATATTCATTTTGTAGTGAGCGCACACCTTTATTGCGGCCTCATGAAAGGATGGGCCGAGAAACTATCAGTATATACGTGTACATACGTCTATTGGTAAGACCTCCAGCAGTGAACTCTTGACTTCTGATCCTAATGAATCCCCGCAGGCCACTGCCGGCCTCAGCACCATTACTATGTTCTTGGCACTTTCACAATCACTTGACGTTCCTCGCATCACGGTCTATCTGACCATCGTTTTTGCAGGAACATGCTTGCTGTCTGCTCTCTTTGGTATCTACCAAGTATTGCAACCGCTACATCTACATTAGCACGAACATGTCTAGTTGATCAGTGATTGGCTGTTATTTGGATTTGAACACAAGGGACTGAGCGGGGCTTTCATTCAATGGAACGTACCTACTTACCAATGATATATTTTGTTCGCGCTCAGCGGGTTTGACTGCCTCTTGTGTCAAGGCTCTGACTCTGGCTTCCCACATGTTAAGCTGCTTGCATGTGGAAGTACGGCAGCTTCAAAGGGGTTTGGTCGAATTCTCATATATGCGTTCAAAGACAGCGCAACATGCCGTGATATCAGTGCGAGCGAGCGGTCACGGGCGGGATACTAACACGGCAGGCACTGGCCTAATTCTCGTGCGAAGAAAGGCGAGAGGAACTTCGGGACAGTCTTAGGTTCGCCCGGAAACATAACATCTATACCACATCACGCAACAAATTGACTTTCTCTACACCTTTCTGAGAATCAAACCCGAGAGAGAATTACACCTCTCCCGCACGCTCGCCCCATCAGAGAAAATGTCCGGGAAAGGTCAGCTTTCAGGAACTGAGCGCCAGAAAACCTTTGTGAAAGCTAACAATTCAGCCCTTTCTTCACTCTGGAGAGTGGCACTCGAAAGCTGTTCTGTTATATGTGAAGAAACGTGTGGTAGCTTTCTGTGAAAGTCATCCTATACTTGTGGGAGAGATGGAGGGGATATCAGCTGTTCAAGTTAGGACTGTCCCGGAAAATCTCTTACATTTCGCAGGGTTGGATGATGTGCCCTGCCTGTCGTGTAAGGCAGTGTTACAGTATATATCAGGAAGTAAACGTAATGTGTACACAGGTTCATGAAGATACCCTTCGCCGTAATCATGATAGTCATTGTATTCTAATGCACACGATTTCGCTTTTATATCAAGCTTGATTTACCCCGGGAATACCTGGGCGCCGCGAATAGTCCGCGATGTATATTTCTCGCCACTGCGCAGCGATGCTATGCAAACAAGCCATTCCGCACCAGCAGTGGTCGAGTGCAATCCAACGGGGGCCTTGTGCCACACAGAAAACCGGGTGGGAACGAATGATAGCGTCTGTGCAGGTGAGTAGCTTCAATCCTAAGTGTTGGGGGCGGTTGCCCTGCCGATCGACGCAGAATAACACGGCAATGACGCAGTCCCTTAGCTCTATGACTGGGACACGAGAGAGGATGCCGTAGGGTGTTGCTGAGAAGGTTGGCAAATAGCTGGAAGGGTTGGCCGGAAGTGCGTCAAGGACGCCCAGGCGCCGCAGGTAGTCACCCATCCCCCGAACGACCTCTCCCAGTTGGGATCCCTATCGGACGAGATATCAGCATGGACGATGCATCATGTGGATGTAAATAAGGGTCACAATTCTGAGCTTCCCCACAGTATCGCACACACGGCCGCTGTTCCTGAAAGCCCTAGGAGAATGGGCCAATAGAACCGACGCCTGAACGTGGGCGGCGCACATCTCGAAGCCATCTGGGCCTTTGAGCCGCTGCACAGGTGCGGTGCAATCTCGTTTGTCTTCTAACCCCCACGCGAATAGAGTAGGATCCATGGAAAACTTCATGATCTCCTCCTGCACCCGCCGGAATGCGCGCGTCCCTTCACCGTAGAGCACGGGCATCCCTATGTCGAAGATGCCCATCAAGCAGTACGCCTCGTCCTCGACACGCGTCGTTTGGCGGTGCGCTGCCCATGACATCCGCTGAGCGATGCTGAAATCACCGGGGACCTTCTCGTGCCGCAGAATGCTAGCGGGTACGCCGGTGATCTCCTGGAGTAGATTGCAGAGCTGCGCCTTGGTACCGAGTTCTTCCCAGCTCTGAGAAAGTAGTCTGAGGGAGGAGGGAGCGATGAGTTTCTGCAAGGTCCAGCCGCGTCTATGCCATCTACTCCTGCGAAAGGCAGAATCGGGGTCCTCAAGCCTGCTTGGTGGTGGTCGGGACGTCCTGGAGGTACGCATAGCAGGTTCTCGATAGGGAGTAGTAGCGAAACATGGAGTTAATGGCCTCTGACAGTTCGACGCTACTCGTCTTGTCGATGCAGCAGGTATCGTTCCAGATCCACTGCAGTCCACTCCTCTCTGCCAACCGACAGCTCTCCCGGATCTTCGCAGAGGCATCGTCCCTCGGGTTGGTCGTCGGGGAGTGTCTTCTGATGATGTCTTGCATATCCTGGAATGAAGTCTCGCCCGTCTGATCCCAGACATGCGAGAGGATGGCGTATCCTCCCGGAGCGTCCTCTGGGTTGTTGAAGTGCGTCAACTCAGCGCGGGAGGTACTGAGAAGCCACATGGAGGCTAGATCCTCGTCAGCCGGACTGAACGAAACACGTTGACATTGCGCGAACCATACCTAGAACGATAGGTCCTTCGACTATCTGCGTTTCGATGCGTTGACGAGTTCAGGCTGAAGTGATTCCTCACTGGAGAGAGATATGGTTACAGCAGACAGTGGAAACACAGGACGTCGGTGCACCGCGGACGGCGGTAAGAGTCGTGTCGTTGCAACGCGGAATACACGCCTTTCTGCTGCATAGGCAATATCTACACGTTGATCATGGGCATTCGGTGTCCGCATGGTGTTGATAGCAAATAATCATTGGAGCTTGACCTTGGTAGTCTCTGTGTGCTGTCGGCGTGCGTCGTGTATCAGGTTAAGATACAATCCACCGACGGCGAGCTGCACTGGTAGTCTCACACTCATCACGCTTACGTCATCGCAGTAACAGTATATCGAATGCATTGGTGAAGTGCTTGTTGTACGTCCTCCTCGACGATGTATCCTATACAGTATCGCAGATTCTTCCTCTAGTGTACGGCGTGCGTGACCCGGTGTCAGCCCCGCCAATTGCCCATTGGGCCCAGGCTGGATAACAATATAGGGATAGTGTGGGGATTGGATAACAGTTGGATAGCGTATGAGGCAGAAAAGCGAGTAGATAGGGACGTATTAAGGATGTATAGGGTACGATGGGTGCGCGAAGGAGTGAGAGATTAGAGCAGTCATAACATACAGCCATCTGACGTGAATCCAAGCGAGAAGTAACGTCAATCCCGAGCCGTTCTCATTCCTAGCATTTGCGGAGCGCGAAGGTCAGCTTGCATTCTTTTGTTGCAGGGTGGATTACCTATGTCCCAAACTCGAGATTAGACATGCGCCCTCGATAATCACGACACGTTGACTCACAAATGCATCCTTGATCTGCATGGTATGTTCGTTCGTCTCACTGCTGTTGGCGGAGATATCGAAATTGCAAGCGATCGCTGCAACGGCAACACGCAAGACAATATGTGCGAGATTTTGACCCCCGCAAACGCGGCTTCCGACACCGAAGGGCATGAGGTGCTGCGACATCCTGGGGCAAGCGAAAGGTCAGACGTGGTGGAAAGAGCTGTCCAGGATCAATACACACCTGTTCAATCTCTCGTCTTCACCAGCCGTGCCCTCTACAGAAAGCCAGCGTTCAGGAAGGAAGGTCTCAGGGCTTGGGAACACCTCCGAATCGCGGTGCATACTCCACGCCTGCGTTCCGACGACGGTACCAGGAGGCAGAGCATAGCCCATCATATCGAACCCGTCGTCGATCTTGGAAGCAGTAGTAGAAGGAACGACGCGCTCCAGCAACGAAGGAGCGGGTCCGTACACCCTCATACCTATGTGGTCGACTCAGCTACGGAGGCGTGAGGGATGATTGATAAGACTACGGACCTTCCTTGATGAATGCATTCAGATAGGGCATTTTGCACAGCGTCGCAAAGTCAGGCACGACATGACGATCAGCCATGTGTTCCTCGAGCTCGGCTTGGAGGTGCTTCATGATGTCTTTGCGACGGCTGAGTTCCCAGAACAGGTAAGAGAGCAACGTAGTTGTTGTGTCCACTCCCGCCACACTGTGGAACTCGATTAGAGGAATACTGTATACGGAACATGAAACGTTACTCACAGATGACCCATGCACTCGGAAACAATGTTCTGCACCGAAAGACTATCATGCGCGCTGTTAACCCTGTTCTGCAGCATGCGTTGGACCAAAGGGATCCTGTCTCCCTTCTCGTGGTCGATAGGGGCAGCTTGCATCCTTGCCGAAGTGTCCTCGATGTGACCGCGTACGAACTTTCAAGCTGACATCAGTTCGTGCGTGGTTGCCTAATAGGGTCAAGGGACTGACCTCAGCCATGGTGTTGTCTGAATTGCATATGCGGCGCCATGTTTCGCTGGGGAGCCGGCATACGATACTCCAAACCGAAGTCGGGATGAAACTCCGCTGAAAACGAACGTTGAAGGACATGAATGGCATGATGTAGAGTCCACACATACCACAATGCCCCTAGTCGGGAAGTCGCAAATGGCTTGGGAGAGGACATCGCGAATACCCATGGCGTAGTTATCAAGCGCTCCAGAGCGAGAGCCGAAGACAGTCGTAGAGATGACATCGACCATAAGGTGGCGGAATAGCTCGGGACAAGAGACGGACGTCTTCCCCTGCTGGTTCTCGAGGATCTACGGCAGCAATAAGGTAAGTCGGGCTCTCGCTACGATGTTGCGGCACATATAGAGTCCAACTTACGTTCAGGACCTTGATGACAGAATCGTTGACGTCAGGCTGGAACTGGGTGAGGTGTGGTAGGTTGTAGTGCGGCGCATAAGCCTTGCGGCGTGCTGCGTGCTCGGCATGAGGAAGGGTCGTCATACTAGGAGGCGAAGATATTCAGTCAGCGAGCCCCCCATCCCACAAATTCAGGCACACTCACGCATGGTCATTATTGTTCCTACAAGCCGGTACGCAGGATTTAGCCAAAAATCGTGCAGACGTGCGCGATACACTCACGTAAGGAGAGCTTTGTAGAATGGGCTCTTGTCAAACTTGTGAACGCAGTAAACGCTCCGCATCGTCGTCAAGTCGCAAAAGACGACCTTGTTGGGTCCGACGCGTACAACGGGCCCATATCGCTCAAAAAGCGCTTGGATCGTCATGCATTGCTGCAGCCGAGCGACGTGCGTAGTGAGCCAGAAGTCCGAGACGGCAGCGTACCAGGGACCGGGGATCGCGGCGAGCGGCGAGAGAAAGAGGTTGTATACGCAGGTACCGCATATGTAGAGGAAACAAGCGGTGATCGCGAGGACGAGGAAGGACGTGGGCGGGATGTGGAGGAGGGCGTTTGAGTAGGAGAGTGGGTGTACGAGGAGGACAGACTGAGAGCTCGACATTGTGATAGAGAACTGTGCGAAGGTTTGTTTGTGATGGGGTGCCTGGGCAGCTTGGGGCTACGCTGCGGGCTGTTTGAGGTAAGTGAGAAACGGGTAGTCGCAGGCCAGTTTGAGTATGCAGGGGAGGATGTGGGAGCTCAATATCGCGGAGAGTAGGCGACACGAAGACCCTGCTGATCGCGGCAAGGGGAAGCGCAGTGATGGAGAGAAGAGAGGGAGCGCAGAGATGGAAGTCGGTAACGACGCGCGGATTTATAGGCCGGCATCCTGTGACGTCCGCGAGAGTCCGTTGGTGTGAAAGAAGCACCGCACTGGTATCCCAAACAAAGGGTGAATGTGAACGTGTCGGGCGGTGAGAGGAAACGCTCCTCCACAAGCAATCTATCGAATTCCCCATCCGGCAACCCACATACCATATCCATGCCACAGTGAAGGAAACGCCGTCGGAGTTCGCGACACGGACGGCACCCGCACCTCCAAATACGGGGCCGGTCATCAACGCCCAGGGAATATCATAGAGGCCGGGAAAATAACAGCACCTCCCATGACGGGCGTCGCCTCCGGGACATCGGAGCCAACGCGCTCGCACCCGCTGTCGGCCTTCGTGCGCCTGTCTTGGCTCAATATCGCCCACGCCGCGAGCGGTGGCGGATCCCTGGCGCGTCACACTCTCCGAAGACGGCCGCATCGACGTCGGGACATCATGGGGCATCCGGCCGTAACTAGGGTTCCGCGCAACGTTAGCGGACGTCACAGGCAGCCAGGCCAGCCTATCTGCTCACCGCCGTCGTCCTCCCGTTCTTCGCGGTGAAGCTGTGGTGATCGGTTGATAAGGCTACGTCTCACATCTACCTAGACGAGGGCGAGATCGGTGTGGGTACAATCCGGGAGACCGTCAGCCGGCAGATCCACAAGGTAGAGAACCGCTCGAGATAGATCGTCCCTGTATGACAGTGTTTGGCGATGAGCGCACGATGGAGCAAAGTGCGTTGCGGATTTGGGTGGAGGACAGGCTCTTGCGTTGAGTCCGCGATTTGACAGATACATGGACCGCCTCGAGCCCCGCCTCTTGAAGAGCGCGCCGGCCTTAAGTCCAGCAAGGCACAGACCATGACGGCGTTACGGCGCACACCAGCTCTGCGGCACCGTCGTTTGGTTAAATTGCGAGCACATTTGGACGTTTTTACGCCTCGAACCATACTCGGCGACGTCACTCACCTCTCATCGTCTGCTCCAAAGCCCTCGCATCCGACGCCGCAGGAGAGCCCATTCTATGGGGAACAAAACACGAGGAAGATTTATCAAAGAAGTCAGCCACGTTCACGGACGCACGATGCAGCCAGCGTACCTAGTCTACGGTGGATGGAGGGCGTTCTCGAGGCGGCCTCCTTGTAGGCGACTCAGTTGACGTCGATCGTGCTTCAGTGTATGCGGCCGCTTGTCAGTGGTAGCTGTCGCCATCAAGAAAGCAGACTGTTCTACCAAAGGTGAAACAGATGAAATGCGCCCCGACGCCGGCCTCCACTTTCGGCCTCGTAAAAGTGCAAAGGGCCGAATGGCTGCACAGGCAGTGCTGGGAACGACGAACCACCCCAGCAACCGATCCCATTTCCTCGACGTCCTCTGGAAAGGTCCATCGACGTTAACGGCCGCAAGCCGGCGCAAAAAGAGACCATCGCACCTCGTGCTCCAGACATCGCATCCTGCTTCGCCATTGAGTCGCAGCCGCATTTACAGTCCGCGCGTACTGAATTAACCGCCGCCGAAGACAGAGCAGCCAAGAGAAGTAGTCCTTCCCGCGAACGCCAGCAAGGGAACCACGTTCCAACCTACGTACCGCCACACAGCACACGCGACTATCTGCGGCGTCACTCAAATGTAACCAACCTTCCCGCACGGGAAGGTAAACAGCACCAGACACCCTAGGTTGTGCCTCCGCTACTCGGCCGCACGCTGATTGTACAGGATTAAAGCCGAGGACCGAGAAGTCCAGGGAAGCGCGTCCGGACGTGTCGGCTGTCGTCCGCGGGAAGCGGCTGTGGATTTTTCCTACTTGGAAGGCGTGCGGGCCAGACGCCACCATCCCGCAAGGTTAGGTTGGTTATGGTAGACGCATTGCTTGACCGAGCCCCGTAGAGACGCGCAGCTGCCGAGCGGTTCGAATAGAGTGTCCCTGGCGGGCACGAGGCGGAGGAGCTGTATAAGAACTGATTGTGAGCAGGATTCGAGGAATGGGGGTGCTGTAAGAGTACAACTCACTGACCGAGGAACGTCGCCAGACATCCTTATCACTATAGAGCCTCGACTCTGCACGTCAGTATGATGCCACAGCTGTCGCAAGTTTGGAGTGCGACAGATAAATTTTTGCATTATACCCCCTGGACCCTCAGCAGTACTCGCCTGTGTAGCAGTCATGCAAGCGTTGTGAGTTCATACTCAGGCAAGTCTCATATACGATGTGGGCCGTGGGGAAGCAGACTGAGCATATACCCTTACGGAGCTAGTAGCAAAGCTAGAAGGTGAGAATAGTTCCTGAAATCGGGGTAACGAGGCACGTCGTCCCAACTAGTAACGGCCTGACAGGGTGCGGAGTTCGAGTCAAGACCCCAGTACTGCTGACGGCACGTTGAGAGGCACAAGCCCTAGGTTCTCCTGAGTCCTTGCTCTTCGTCTTTGATCTATTCACCCACACGCTCAGTGGTATCACGAAAACGGATGATTTTTGCCATCCGGCTGCTTGCTGACCATCCGTACAACCGCCTCCGGGCTATATGCATGTCGAATCAGGACATCATCAAACTCACGCTGAATCCCGTCGACAAGTTCTTCACCCACGATGAACCGGATCCAGCGACAAATACGAAGGAGGAAGGCGGCGCCGTTGGCAGGAGACAAGAGTCGGGGCGCGCGACGAGGATCGACTTGCGCTCCGGCTCTCGGACCGCTGGCGGAAGCTTTCAAGAGCGCGCATTAATGAGCAGGCTCCGCTGCCTGGCTCGCTATTACCAACTGCTCATTGCGTGCAACCCGCACCACTCGCAAGCCACTCTCTCCACTGCTCCGACCCTCAGCCTCGACGTCAACGAGTGGCCGCTCGTAGGCTGACGTCCTCTACACATCTGCGGCTGACGACCTTGGGTTCTCCTCTTTTAGTTTGCCGAGCTTGCCCCGCTTGCCCCAGATTACGATCTGCGTCGTGCTGCCCTGCTCGTCGTTTCGCCCCGACACTCGCCCTCGACATCATATCTGCTGCCTCCTTCCACCTGGCTTTGAGGAGACCACATAGTGCCCGTGCTGGACCGTCACGGACGCCGCGGAACGCTGGAGGACGCCAGCGCGGTCACAAACCTTAATTGACAAATAGCCTGATCGGTGGGTGTCCGCGCGTGTGTCTTGTTCTCCCGTCCTGCTCACCACGCCCGTCGTCCTCAGCATAATCCTCTCAAGGCACCCATAACGCCTCCCTCTGCCCTACTACTTCTTGATCTGCGTCTACCCAGCAGCCACATCACTTTACGCCGCAACAAGGGACTTCTACCGGTCGAGGGACGCCGAACTCTTGCCAGCTGTACAACACCCGTTCTCCTCACCTCTTGTATCCTGTTGTAAGCTCAGCACACCTAAGTTATACTGCATCTGTCTGCCTCCCCCTTTCACCATGACTTCCTCGCACCCTCAAGCATCCTCCAGTACCTTCTACATGCCCATTGTTCCTCCTCCGACACCCGCACCCTCCCCGCCACCAGGACAAGCATCCTTCCAGTCTGTACATCCTTCAGTCGTCTCTCATGTCTCTCACTTTGCTGGTCTTTCTCCTGCCTCGCGAAGGCAGCACCTCTACGCGCTAATCCAAGAATGCACTCCCTCTGAACTGCTATTCCTCTCCACCACTATCGCGCCCCTGCTCAAGCGCGACTTCCTGCGCGCGCTCCCTCCCGAGGTCTCTCTGCATATCCTTGGCTTCGTAGACGACCCGCGCACCCTTGCGCGCGCCGCGCGAGTTAGTCGATATTGGAACGAGCTGCTCAAGGACGACTACTTATGGAAGACCCTGTGCATACGTCACGGGTTCTCGCGCGACGCCGACGCGGTAAAGAGTTTCAAGGCGGAGCAACGCTCGGACGGTGGGAGAAGGCATTCGAGACATTTGTCCATGGAGTCAGACTTTGACACCGTGAGGAGCACACACTCTCTAGCTTCAGGACTTCAACTCTCGCCACCCACCTCTGCCGCGTTCCCATATCGGAAATACTTCATATATGAGCACCTCCGAAGTGAGTTCCCTCTTCCTTTCTTCAGCTGTAGGTGCGGCGTTGAACCTGGATGACGAAACAGCATCGAACTGGCTACAACGGGGGCGACTACTGCGTATCCACCGCGCCCCACTACATCCCCCCATCGCCCAGGACATGAATGCCCCCAACAACGGCCAAGGACAAGTCCAGAACCCCGCCATCCCAACATCGATCGCCATCGACTCCTCATGGGTCGTCGTCGGCCTTGCCAACAGCCGCATACACATATTCAGCGCGCGCACCGGCGTGCTCTCCCGCACGCTCGTCGGCCACGAGGCTGGGGTGTGGGCCGTATCCCTCATCTCCGCGGGCGGAGAGCCCGCGACCGCGGACGTGCCTCTGAGTGCGAACGCGGGCGACTCCCTTGTCGCGGGCGTCCCGCAAGACGCCATGGTGCCCCCGATACTGAAATATGCGCTGGGGCTCGATCAAGGCGAGGATGGTTGGACGTCATCGCGCGGCGCCAGCCCGGATCCGTTTGCCGACACCAGAGCGGAGGAGTCGCATCCATTTGGCAAGCCAAGCTACCCCGGGGGCGCGTCGGACGGGTGGGGCCAGCCCAACGCGCTGGTCGTCAGCGGCGGCTGCGACAAAGAGCTGCGCGTATGGGACGTGAAGTCTGGGTAAGTCTGTCCCTCACGCGTTATCCTCACACCCCTAACGAAACGGATCTGGCGTATCCACAGGTATTGTATCTACATCCTTCGCGGGCACACCTCAACGATCCGCTGCCTCAAAGTCCTCCACGGGCGCCCGATCGCAGTGTCCGGTTCGCGCGACCGGACGCTGCGCGTGTGGGACGTCCAGCGTGGGCGCCTCTTGCGCGTGCTCGAGGGCCACACGCAGAGCGTGCGCTGCCTGGATGCGTGCGGTTCGCGCGTCGTCAGCGGGAGCTACGACTGCACGTGTCGCGTGTGGGACGTCGACACCGGCGCGTGCTTGCATGTCCTCAGGGGGCATTTCCACCAGATCTACACGGTCGCGTTCGACGGGGTGCGCATCGCGAGCGGGGGCCTGGATACCACTGTGAGGGTGTGGGACGCGTCGACTGGGTGCGCTGCTTTCCGTCCACCTCCATGTATGCGCGCTCACCGGCTCCCTTCTGTAGCGCTTGCCTGGCACTCCTTCAAGGGCACACCGCGCTCGTCTGCCAGCTCCAGCTCACGCCAACGATGCTCGCCACGGGCGGCTCGGACGGGCGCGTGATCACGTTCTCGCTCAGAGGCGCTGCGTTCTCCGTCGTGCAGCGGCTCGCCGCGCACGACTCGTCCGTCTCCGGCCTCCAGCTCGACGACCGCTTCCTCGTCACCTCCGGCAACGACGGCCGCGTCCGCCTGTACAAGTTCGAGCAGCCCCCGCCCTCGCCTTCCCTCGGTAGTAGGAGTACGGGAGGGGAAGGCGATCCGCAGTGCAGCTTCGTGCGCGACCTGTGCGAGCCGGGCGAGAGCGTATGGAAGGTGGCGTACACGCGCGAGACGTGTGCGATCCTGTGCAAGAAGGCGGGGAAAATGGTGATGGAGATCTGGAGCTTCAAGCCCGATGTCTGAGCGCGTTCGTGTCCGCGTCGGGTGCTTGGTTCGGTGGGTTTCGAGAAACGCGCCAGAGATTCGGCTCCGGCTGGCATCGGAGTCGCGGGTAGACTCGAGAGGTTGTGTTGGTGTTCTGAGTGCTATGTGCTGTTGGAAGACACGGATTTGGTTGTTGTTGATCCGGCCCGCCGTTGTTGGTACGCTCTCATGATTGAGTTTTTATCGTACTTATCCGCTACCATACCTCCGCAGGCGCATCGCGGACTTCTCACTGCTTTTGGGTGGTACTGGGTGTATGCTATTATTTGCCCTCCTCTGATGTTCCTGGGTCATCCATAGTCTTCAGGCTGCTCTTTGCAAACATCGACCTAGCTTCGGTAAGTAAGCATAATGCAACCTTTTCTCGCCGATAGGTCAGTGCCACTGAATATGCCCCTAAGTGGGTCGAAGGACGCTGAGAATCGACATAGTGGGCAGGAGTCAGGGCTTAAGGTGGCAATTGGTGAACTTGCCCTTGCGGCCCGCCTCGTGTTCTCCGAGTTGGGAGGTCACGAAATTCGAGACCACTACTAGTACTCCTCTCTCTGTGTGCCTCTTGTGACATGGGCTCGCTTCCTCCTGCGGTCGCCGGGGCCGCCGTACTCACACTATGGCTGTCTGCGCTTGGCGACGCGTCTACCCTACTGGAGGCCGGAACCTCATCTTGCACCGGCGTTGGAATTTCATGAAAATCTCAGCTTCCAAGGTGCCATGGTACACCGGTCGTGCCTCTATTTTCGGACGTGTCCGCGGGTTCATTCTTTCAAGACTCAACCTTAATCGATGTCATCTGATCTAGCGTTGGCCATCACGTCCAGCATGCGGTTCGTTAAAGCTCCCGTTGTGGAAGCTGCATCGCATCTGTCACGGGTATGTTGACGAGTTCAAGACCTCTAGATGACTACCCGTAGACGGGTGCCGAAGTCTGTAGCTTTTCTGCTTCTGTCGGACGTCATTTGGTTAGTATCAGGGCATGTATCGCCAGCTGTAGCACAAAAGAACCTACATCGACGCTGACGTTCATTGTCACCCTCAAATCCAGCTTGTAGCTTTCAGCAGTGCAGTCTGGGCAAGAGAGCTGACCAACATCATCGTCATCAGAGGAGTGATAAAAGTCTCGTCATCAGAGGAGTGATAAAAGTCTCCTAAGAGCCACCTAACACAATCTGACACTACACTGCGGTCAGTATTGATTTCTCAGTCCGATGAGGCTCAGCTTCATCAGACCGCCCCTGGCGCCCCACCCAATCGAACAGTCCCATGTCAACACGTCAGATAGAAGCCATCACAAACACGATGTGTTCTCCCATTAAAGGCTGACGCCTCGCCATTAAGGACCATCCTGAGGTCTCCCACTCTTTTCAGCGAACCGCTTGGGCAAGACCATGGAAGGCGCAATGGGGCCCCTGTTGATTGGTACTTCTATCGGACTGGTGTGAGTATTCATACTTGAGTGACCTGCTCTGTTCTTGTGTCGCTCACATGATGTTGGTCCGACTGAGTCAGCCTTTACGGTCTCATTCTACACCAGTCGTTTACATATGCCGAGATTTACCCTCAAGATCCGTTGAAAGTCAAAGCTCTGGTATGTATGTCATCAGCTTGGCCCCACTATAGTGATCTGATGCAGCTCGTTTCAGGTCTCCCTGGCACTGTAAGACGAATGAAATTATCGTACAACTGCATCTAATCAAACTCAGTGTGATGGAGACTCTCTTTGCAGCGCTAACCGTGTATTCGTGGTAAGTACGGACAGCATCAGTAATCCTAGGAACCGGAGACTCACAACCACGCTTTCCGGAAGTTACCACTATCTCATCACCGACTATTGGATTCCTGAAGTGCTGTATAATCGTATATGGTGAATTCCCGTCGTCCACTTGCCGAGGATAAGTGCTGAAGCATCATGATTTCATAGGTCCATTGATGTGAGTAGCTCTATTTGCAGATATCAAAGTGTATTTCTGTTCACTGTCAATATGCAAGCTTCTCCCGCTAGTGGCGGTAAGCCCTCAGTTACCCAGTTTCAATGGATCTCTTCAATCAACCTACCTGTCATATTACCAGGGTTGTTCCTTTATCGTTACCCAGAGGTAGTTGACGTCCCCCCAAGGACTTCTACAATAGCACACAGATAGCGCAACTTACATACGCCTGTAGTTTCTTCGCTCATCGTGCCTATGTTCGTACGTTGTCTCATTTGCATGCACACTGACGTTCTTCGCCTTATTACTATCATGTATAGTGGGGGGCAACTTCCGAAGATCGGTGGCCATAGCAGTAAGTCTTCCTCGGAGTTGTACCTCGAAACACATCTGGTTAAAAATATCAGATGGGATTATTTGTCTTAGAACTAGGCCAGTCTCTCCTCATAGTCAACAGTATCAAGTATGTTTCTCACAGCCAAGGCAGGGTTCTTCATAGGTCGGTCTCTCATGTCTCAACAAAAATACCAAGTTGAAACGTGGGCTACTTCCTTTAGCAGCAACTGCAGAGGCGTCAGTATCGTTTACGAGAATTATGGGCACGCTTCTGATATTCATACAGATTCCTTCACTCTGCTTGGTCGGATCACCACACTGTTCGCGTCCTCCGCTCACTTTACGTCTGCAACATCTTCTCACATTGCGCTCTCGGCGGAAGTGGCTGATTTCAACGAGTACGGCTCTTGGAGCAGCGTCCGATGCCATAGTGACGGGAGTACTTGTCTGCGCGTTGCGGCGTAGTCGAACTGGTATCAAACGGTAAATCCAATCAAAAGGGTGTCTGGTCATTAATCCACTGACGGACGACGCTACTGGCGAGTAGAACTGATAACGTCCTCGAAGTCGTGATCCTGTATTCCATGAATACCGGTGAGTGAAGCATTCTGGCAGGCAGATGAATTAGATGGTAATCGAAGGCCTTTCAGGATTGCTGACTGGGTAAGGACGATCGTGGAGCAGTGTCCCTGCCCATCCCATGTATTCCATGAGTGACCGACCTTGTTTTTTCAGAATCGTGAATCTACTGTGCCTATACGTGACTGTTGATTCCCCTGAGAACCTCAGCCATGTTTGCTGATGGTTACGTACAGGGTTTCATTCGCCCCGAGGTCTTCACTTTTCTTGGGATAGCAATACCTGGCTCCAGAGGTATGCCAGTCCGCACAGAGTCACCATGATAATTGACAGCTATCTCGATTGGGATAGTGTATACTGTGTCGCTTCTGGCTGCGTACTACATTCCTTCATCACTTCCCTTAGAATCTAGAGCTTATATATCTTCATCCCCAGACTGAACTCTCGTCAGTCATTGCTCGAACGGTTCTCAGACACAATCGTACTTGCTGGGACGAATCAGAGGACACTTCAGTTCAACGCGTCTTCTACTGCGCCCGAAGAGAATGCGAGCGTGGAGGATAGGATCACTGTGCAGTGTGAGTAAGACTTATTCGTAAGGGTGAGTAGACTAGCTCATGTGATCCTATTCATTTAACAGACTAGTGACCATGTTCTTCAAAGCGGTGGAGACATAGCTGGACGGCAGTTGAGCATCTAGATATGAGCGCTCGAAGGAGCCTTCATTACCTGAACGGTGATCGGATGGTCAGACTATCCACTGTTCATGCGTCTACATTGTACGAGGCTGTACCCTGGATGAGAACCCGTGATAGCATTCTGTTTTCTGAAATGAGGGTGGGACATCTTGGACGCCGGCGCCCACTATGCGAAGCACTTCGCCCAATCCCCCTCTCCATTATTCCGCGCATACGACTGACTCTGCACGAACGCGTCAAGCGTACATACCCTATCCGCGTTCGCACCGCAAAACTCTGACGGCATCACTGCATCGTTCACTAATATCCGCACGCTCGGCGTCCCCCGGCACGACAGCCGCTCTGTGACCATCCGTCCCGAGAACGGCACCATCTTCTGCACTCGCCACGTCCTGTTCGGATCCGGCTTCGTCGGATCTAGGGGCGCGCTCTGCTTGAACAGCCCCATCGCCGCGAAGATCGCGACCATCTGGTTGTCGTGCGAGAAGTCCGCGTATAGCGTCCTGTTCAGCGGAAACGTCTCCGGGTTCCCGTCCAATGTCGCGTTCGTCTGCGTGTGGTCCTGCACTGGCTTCCCCGCCAGCCTTGCGATGAGCTCGTTGATGTATCCCACGCCCTGGACGGGGCCCAGCAGCTGGCCGTAGCCCGTGCCATAGTACTTGTCGAGGTCGCCGTAGTACGAGAACGCTGCGGGGCCGGCGAGTTCTTCGAATATTGCGCAGAACGGGCTACGCGTCTCGTGTGAGATCGTGTCGAAGGCGCACATACTGAGGATGTTGTAAGTGTCCGTGTCGGTGAGGTTGGCCCCTGGGGCGCCGGCGTTCAGGCGTGCAGTCATCGGCGGAGCGAAAGTGGAGAGCCACAGGTTATCTTCTGCATCGGAGCTGCCCGCGGCGGCGCACATGTTGTCATCCAGAGTATCGTTGCCCTACGGTAATCTAAGTTAAAGCCTGACCTCAACGAGGACTTAAGATGGAAAGCATACGGCTTCCGAGAGGATCACAGAGAGTATGGGTTTGTAATGGTGAGAACTAGCCGCGGCGAAACCTCCAGTGGACAAGTTAGACTTGATTTATTCTGAGAAGACCAGGCCGGACATACCGGCTGTCCAGTTAGTAGCGGAGTCAACCACACGTGGAGCACTGGACGCCCTGACGAAAGGCTGGTTTGCCTCGCTCAGTAGCCACGCGTACCGCTCGAAGGCTTGCTCGCCGGCTTGGAAGGACCTAGGACCGTTGAGCCATTACAAGCACAGCCGAAGACAGGATCCTTACTGCGCAGCTCCGTATGGAACAAGGTCGTCATGACCGAGGTCGTAGGAGTAGTTCTTTAGGAAAGCGAGAAGCGGATCGGTGAAACTCTCTACTGATTGCAGCTTTCCGATAGCAGCTACAATACGTGTAGCAGCGCCAGATGTGGGGTATCGTGCCCCATGTCGTTGCAACTGCGAACAAGTCAGGTTTGACCAAGATTCGACTATCGCTCCAATCACTCTGGGAAAGTCCACTTACAATGTTCACCTAGAAGCACGCGATACCACGTCAGCAGAGACTCTGCCTATACACAAGCGCACCATGTATGTCCGTACAGATAAAACAGGATTTGGAAGGGGATAGGGGCATGACACGAAGAGGAAGTAGAGATAGAACTCGACGCACCTGATCGAGGCTACAGCCTTCTGGAGGCGGCACATACGGCTCTGAGGGATAGTATGGCGAATACATCACCCAGCTCTGCTGTACACTCCGTGGCACACCCAGCGAGGGTACTTCTTGGTCGACATCTAGGCTGTTTCTATAGACAGTCGATGGAGAGAGACTTGCGTAGGCGTAACAGATGTATGTGAGCGTGATAAGGCTTAGAAGCGCCATGACCGCTGGTCGCGCGCGGAATATGTCGGCACGTGTAGCGCCCGTTGGTCTGTGTCGCAGAGCTGGAGATTTGGTGTCGACTAAGAACGGGAGCTGGTCGATATGTGCGCTGGGAGATTTCGTCATGACTGGTATATAACGAGCGTAGGTAGCGACATGGGATGCAAGCAAGTGCGGAGGAAGAGGAGTTTTCCCTCACCGAAGTGTTCCTGTAATAGCGAGCCTTCTCAAGCGCCCTGCTACGACCACATGCAGTGCGCAAGCACGTTCGTTGAGAAGGCCTGACATTGCGAGGTCGCTTTGATTTTTACATTAGGGTATATTTGAGGGAGCCCAGGGCGAAATTTCTTGGGCTATCTGACGTTCGCTCGAGACACAGACGCAAGTATTCTGAGTAAAGTGGAGCGTGCGGATATACGCTTCGAGCGAGTGTGTGTCAAATTTTCTGGTACGGTGGTGCCCCGGATACCCTGGGGGCTGGACGTACCACGCATCGCGCAGGCATCCCGCGGTGCGTGGCACTGAAGAGAGAGGACCCCATACACTACCTTCCATCATGGGAACTCACCACATAAACAAGTCTCTTCTCGGAAACAAATCATTCTGCAGCAGCGTTCTCTCGAGGTCAAGTGGAGCATGATCTCGAGCGATCTCAGCGCCACTTCGAGCCTCAGTTTCGTGGCCCAGGTTCTGTCAAATATACCCTATTGCACATATGTGTCTTCCCTCCCGTCATGTTTCTGAAATTAGGCAGCGCCGTGGGTCAGGTCGATTGAGATTTGATACACGTTCGTCGTCCATTGGACTGCGTCTGATATGATCGCATGGGTCCTCAATGCATCACCTTCGGAGTAGTTCTGGCAATAGTTCGACACGCAGGTACAAATTCGAGCAGATTGACCGAATATGAGTATTAGAGATGGTCGTCTGACCGAAGTCGTAATAGAAGCCTCAGTTTATGCAGTGTGGTTCAGCTGCGTTGCTTTGATTATGTCCGAACGTCGATCACTTTGCTTCGATGTTCAAAATCAGGACCAATCTGCGGCTAGTATGTTGTAGCTTAGAGGCATACATGAATAGCACAGGTTCAGCGATCTGTGAGAAACATGCACTCCCTACACTCCGGCAAAGACTAGTTGCACATGAACAGGACCTCGGGGGATAGATAACCGCGTACCCAAGGTCTCGAACCATCCAGTGGCCTACGACTGCCGGCATTCAGAATGCGATGACTTATTGCAAAAGTTAGGAGGAAGAGATCGTCGCAGATCAGAAACAAGTTGTTGAGCAGCATCGCTTTGTGTATCCGGAGTTTCGGCACGTGCCATCCGGTGATGGGCGGCAATGTCGTAACAGAGATACTTGTATACACGGCCAAGGACGGGACGTTTCTCGCTATCACCCTCCATCGTCCCCTCTCACGTTGCGATGCCAGGCCCAGCTGTGTACATTGCTGCTGCTGCTGTCGCTGTTGTCGCCCTCCACCAGGTAAGCGTATATCGTTATGTCGACGAACGCCACCATCCCTGCATCGTACCCCGAGAATCTCAACGAAACCTTTTCTCAGTTCGTATACGAGCCGCTCATTGCACCGAAGCTTGAGGCATGGGCGGAAAGCTACGTGGAGGGGCGTAGGCAGAGGAGGAGGCAGCGACAAGGCCCTGTCCTCTCTCAGCCCGTGAACGAGCACGGCGACGAGAACACAACGCGCAGATCCGCAGAAGATAGGCAGCGTGCGGACGACGCTTCTATCGAGCTGGAACAGCTCGCAGCTCGAGAACGGGATGAATGGAGAAACGCTGTCGGCTCATCAACGCTGCGACGCAGGACGACGGCGGGGGCTCTCGAGGAGGTGCGTTGCATATCGGCATGTAGCTACTGCGCTTCTTCTGAATCATCCCTTCCTGGGCATAGTCGCACACCATCGCGTATCCCATAATGACCCCGACTCATGTCATCGCCGATACGTCTTCTCCCCCTTCTCCTGGAGGGCAGTCGATCCGGACGAGCGCCCCATCTGCCGACAACAGCCCCACTCGTCCTCACATCAGCCTGTTTGAGCCTCAACCGTCCACGCGATCGCATAGGTTAATGTCCCCGAGACTTCCCACTCCCGTATCTAATTACTCCCTGTCGTCGTCTCGTGCCATGACCCCGACGTCGACCTTATCCGAGCACTCTCCCGTATCTTCGAGGCAGCTATCCCCAGACCTGGGCGCATCACTTGCCCTCCCGTCTTCGTACAACACCCCCCTCGACCGCTCGACCATTTCAGAAGCCGACCCTGCGCCTGCGTACACCGACCCACTCTTAAACCCTGGCTCGCCCTTCTCGGATATTCACTCTGTGGAGGCGCGACACAGTCCCGAGTACACATCCCCATCGTATTCTCCTGGCGCACTGATTGGCTCTCCACGTATGGGGTCGCCTAGCATCTCATCGGACTTCACGGTGGACTCGGACGATGGATTTGACGTGTTGTCGCCCCGTTCTGGGATGTTCAGCCCGTCGACTAGGAATAGCCGCCTCGATGACGATCCATTTGAAGTGGGCTCTCAGCACGAGAGCGAAGTCTCGTGGACGAGTGTCGGCCGTCGCTCCCCACCGCCTCAATTCTAAGGCGGCTTTTGCCGCTGGACACCAAATGCCATGGGTCCTATGCACGTACATCAGTCCTGGATCCCTTACTTTTCTTCACTGTATCAGTATGCATTTGGAACTCGGCAAGGAATTCTCGTTCGCTGCCTGTGTACTTCTCGGTCTCACACCTCCGGTTATCATAACTCTTCCTGTTATGGTTTGCTTGCACATCACTCTCTGTAATTATGCTGTAGATGCTATATTGTTGTCGCACTTGCACACGACCAGTGAATGACATGTATCACCAATTACGCTCGATGGTGTCGCATCGCGTTGCTGAGGTCGGACCGATTCGAGTATCCAGGGCCTAGCAGTGCGGTCGACCCGCCTCCTGCGATGCCTGATGCTTCTAATCCTCCGTCTCAGTCCCATAGCGCCGTTGGGAGCCTTGGTCCCTCGGAGTCCGTACGCGAAGAGGCTGCGCGCGCAGCTACTACATAGCTCTTCCTGCGTGGGGTGACATCATGCCCTCCAGCGTCTAACCGGCTTTACCCCGCATGGATGCAACCGGTCTGCAACGCCACATCCCCGCTTCCGTAACGGGCGTTCCGTGCTGTAGGTCCCACTTTGCTGTCAAGCCATACCACCCAAACCGGCACCGTTCCACATCAATCTCGAGGAGAACAGATTTGTGGATACGGAACGCGAGAACAAAGGAATAACTGACGAACCAGATGCACTCATCGGACGGAAAGGGCCCTGTGAAGCTTTCGCAGTTCCACCGACCTCCTTTCGACCTGAACAAGGCTTCCATCCCTCAACTCACGCCGGAATCACGAACGTGTGTCCCACCCTTTCGCATCAGCAGTTAGCTGGAAATCATTGCATGAGATAGATGTATACAGAACCTGGCCGCGTACCGAGCTCCGAAGTCGCGCATCAGGTATCCGAAATCGAGGAGCGCGGCCGTGTTGGTGGCGCTTTTCATCGGGAGGATGGGCGACATATACGTCCTTCTAAGTAGGTAAGCGCAGCCGCCTTAGCTCAACCCCTGGGACGTACATGAGTAACCACATGGTAGACGGGCGTCACACTTACGAACATACGCCGGGGACACCGCGCTACCTGGTGGCAAGTGGGAGCCTCGAGACAAGAGTCATGAAGCGACAGCGGTAGGTCCGGTTGTATACGCAAGAGGCTCTCCGGACCGAAATTGACTCATGTCTCTGGCAGAGACGAGAGGCGTTTGAGGAGGTATGGTCTCTTAGAATCGGACCGGTGCATGACGCTCATATTCGCAGATTGGCCTGCCTTTAGACTATACCAAGGTACCATTGTTATGCGTCCTCGAGCCCTTCCTCGCGGGAAACAGGCTTATCGTTACGCCGTAAGTTCGGGTTCATCTCTTCGATCGCTCAACTCATTTCTGCCCCGCAGAGTCGTCGTATTAATTCTGGATAACACGCTACGCGTTCGCCCCGATCCTCCGAATCATGCTCGCACTGCGCTAACTTCATTGCTACGTAGCCGATATTGAATCAGGCCGAGGTCGCCTCGCTGTTCTCTCATCCGCTCAAGAGCTTTCTACATTCAGACCCGCCCTTTGCAACCGAGCCGGAGATGCTCGAAATGAAGTACCACACCTACATCGACTACAACTCGAATACGATGCCGGGTAAAGTCCGCATGCACACCTTCCTCACCGGCAGGGAGGCCGGCGGGACGAAGCCGGTATTTGGCTTGACAGCGTGCGTTTCCCGTGTTGATTCTTCGCCTTCTCTAGTACCACCGTCTCATGAACCCTTCATCTACCGCGACGTATAGGGCGATTCTCATCCACGCAGCTTCGATCGGCTATGGACAAGAGCCTGACTTCAAGCCCTTCGCGCCGGATCAGCCCACGATGGAGCAGCGGATCGCATACGCGCTCCGTCATGACCCCATCTTCCGAGAAGCCGAGGTTGCGGAGGGTATCGACCCAGACAAGACCCCGAAGCCGGCTAGCCTGGCAGACCCTTCGCGGCGTCGAGCGGATGTGAAGCGCAGTGGGAGACGGCGGGGTGGGCGGCGAGCGTTCCGTGCAAAGCTATGAGCGTCGAAATGATTTCATCGTGGACCCGCCGTTGCCAGTGTGGACTGGTAGATGCCCGGACTTTGCGTCATGTATATACTGGGTTGCCTATCTTGGTGGTGGATCTAATTGCGCACGCATGCTTTCCGTACGCGTCTTCTGGGCTTGTCGTCCACTCACATGTCATGTGTCTGGCGATATTTCTGGCAGGTGACGTGCTTGTTGATCTGCCTGGGCAACGTTGGCGTTGGAATCGTTTAGTCACCGTGCCACGCGCTTCCACCATGCTATGATTGTTCGCTGGTGGTATGAAGGTTTGAAGGCCGGAGTCTTATTTGCCCATGACCTCAGGTCGCATGAGGATGCCGGCTGACGCTAGGTATATGTAAGTCCTGGCGTCCTCATGCACCCAGAGTTACGTGAAGGAGGCATGAGAATCGTCTGTTCTAGACGGCACTGGACAGAGCCATCGTCGATATCTTGCTCGACTGTCGTATGAGAAGTTGCATGACAATTGTTCCGATCCAAGGAACCTTGTGCGACGTCGGGCCTGCTGAATGCACTTGCGCAAGACAGAGTCGCGGGGATTACATAAGCCGACCTCACGCCGACCACGCCACAGTTGTTGCAGCGCTGGCCCTCCGCACCGCTCAGACCTTTTCCCCTCTCCCACCTATTCTTGCGGCTCGACAGGACAGCCCCTCATACGCCTCCCTTTCATACGACTTCTCTCCGCAACAGCTCACGCTCTATACTTAACGACACCGCACATACGCCTCTTGACGATATCTGACACCGACGTCTACGACAACCCATGCCACAAGTCTACCGACGCCATTCGGACCACAATACTCGCCCGTCTCTCGTCCCCCGCCGCCGGTCCACCATGGTCCCCGCAGGACCCCAAATGACTGATGCAGACGATTCTATCGTCCTCGCCGACCTCGTGCGCACTGGCGAGGCTTCTCGCCTCCGCAGGCGCGGGGCTATGCGTCTCGACCATAACGCCGGCGGTACCGGACGAGCACCCCTCGGCGACAACCCCGGCCCCAGCTCGTACGCTCCTCCCGTGCGGCCTATCATCATCGAACCCTCTCGGACTCCTAGCCCGGAACCGAACGCAGATGGTGTGGGCGCAGACGAGTACACTTACACCGCCGGAGTGGTATCGCGAGGCTGGGACGGCAACATACGGCCGCCACCTAGTCGGGGAGCGGAGGGCATGCAGGCGGTGGAGATCTTGAGTGAGAGCACGCAGGCTGGGCAGGCGTTCACACTTTACTGTGGTGGCGAGGATGCCAGGATAGAGGAGCACGAGCAAAACGAGCCAACACGCTGGGAGCCTTCACTTCTACCTGATCTCTCGTCTTCCTCTCGACAGTCCTCTTCGCGAGCGCAGGGCAAGTCTGTGCGCAAGACCAATGGGTGTGGCGCGATTGTGCATGTGCGCGCGTATCCCCAGCGTCCCCGCGGTGTTTGGTTGGCGAAGGAAGTCGCCGCCGAGACCGTCGTGGGATTGGACCCAGCGTATTGCGACCATGCTGCGATGGACAAGATGCTGAAGAGCGCCTGTGGATGTATACGAGAAGGCATTGGCTGTGCCGTATGGTGCGTTATTGCTTGCTTCCCCTTCGATCTCCCGCAACTCTAACCTTGGCTTCATAGCGGAAACACGCTCGGAACCCGGTACGTGCCCTGCCAAGCTGCGTCCGAGAGCATATTCTCCCCTACCCCAAGCAATCCGCCTTCGTCTTCCTCATCAAGACCCATTCGCCCGTTCGGCCCGAGTTACTGGAACCCCCGTCCCCCTGCGCGCCATTCCCGTTCCTCTATGGGGGCCTTGCGTGCTCCCTCACCTTCATATTACACTTTCTTCGCGGACCGCGTGACCGCTTCCCCAGCGTGCGACCTCCCATTCCCCACTGCAGTTGCCCCGGCGCCACCAGAGCAACGCCGTATTAACACTCGACCGGCGTCACCTATATTCGACTACGGATATAGGTGGACGGCGTCGCCGCAGCCCGTCCCTGCTCCGCTACCTCTGTTACCCGCAGGCGAGCGCGATCCGCCACCACTCTCGCCGGTTTTTGCACTGCCGCCATTACCTACTCTTAGCCGCAACTCGAGCCAGTTACGACCGTTGTCGATGTCGATGCCGTTGTCGATATCAGTCTCGACTCGTGAGCCTCGTTTGGGCCTGGAGTTGCAGCCCCCGTTTGCTGTGAGCACTCCTAGCGGGGAGCCGGGGTTGGATTTGGATGCCGACGGGGTGCCTCTGGGCGAGACGGAGGAGCCGAGCTCCCCTGACAAGGAGAGCATGTCTTGGCCAGGGCGTTGATAGTCTGTTTATCAGGCCCCAATCGCATGCCGCGCCTGTGTCACAGCTCTGATCCGCGCCGCTACCGCCCGTCTTGAGACGACGTTGTAGAACCAACAGTCGGTGAGCACTTCAGCATCCGTGATCTCCCCAATACCCATTACCACCTTCTGGCTACATTCTATGAGTGAGTTGTTTATTTCTGTCTATAACTCTATGTGGTATACACTTCGGGTCGCCAGCAACGTCAGTGGACATTTCTGTCGTGCGAAGCTTGTGCGATTCATTGACTGTTGCTGTCTTGGATATATTCTTTGCATCGCCTGTTTGTTTGAATGTCTATATCTAACCTTGCTTTCGCCTTCGTATTAGACTATGTATTCTCCACCATTGACTCCTCCCCCTCTTCCCCCTCTCCCTGTTCTTCATCACATGCCTGTGGCTCATGTTGTTTACCATATCTGCATTGTGTATACCTTATGCATGCTCGCATATCTCGCACCATCATCTGTACTCTATGTCCTCTGCAATAGGATTCGTATCAACACGTTGGATTAGAATGACGCTTTTTGAAGAAAGCCAGACTATGCTTCAGCGTCCTACCGTCGTGGACCAAGCCCGAGGTTCAGGAACCCGTGCGTGAAACACAGGTATCTTGATTTACCCCGGATCACGGGGCAAGTGACGTCGGTGCTTGCCGAGGGAAGTAGCCGAGGATGGGTACAGAGGCTGGCCGCGAGAGCGATCGCGATCGAGGATAGAGATGCGATTATCTGCTGTCCAGCTCGGAGAGTTGCGTGGTGTACGCGCAATCCAGAGCTCGAGATGGTGCAAGCCTCGCTCTCCTCCGGTCCTCACATTACTGCAAGCAGCACCATCACACCTACGTGCGACTCGTGCTGCTCTCCCGAAAGACGACTTCCTCCACTACGGACAGACTAGGAGCCTCTCGAGTACGATGACCAAGCTCGCTGCAGCGGAACGCTTCCTAGCGGACAAGGCCGCGCCTTATTGCAGTCTCAATGTCGCCAAGTCCTTTGAGCTCCTCAGGTGTGCTCCGTACTATGCATGATGCGTCAGTACGCTCAATGCTCACGAACCCATGTTCTATGCAGCCCGAAGGAAAAGAAATACGCGCACTACATCGGCCAAGCCTCTTGGGCGGGCGCACGGATCATTCAGGGCCAATGGACCCCACAAGCGGAGAAGCTCTACGACTTGCTCATCTTGACGTTCAGCGAGAACGGGAAGCTCGTGGACTTGGAGGCGTTGCAACAAAAGAGCGGTGTCTCAGCCGATGAATTCGATGACCTGCTTCAGTACACTGGTCAGGTGCGCCACTTGTTCATCTCCTCGTATGGCGGAGTCAAGGGAGGAGTATGGGTGGGAAGCTGAGTGGTGGTGCTCGTTAGGTCCTAAGCAACCTTGTGAACTACAAGTCATTTGGCTTCACCAAGATCGTCCCGCGGATCCCAGAAGACAAGTTCGCCGCCGTAGTAGAGAAGTCCGCCAACGCGGCCAACGCGGTGCCCCTGTGGAACGAACTCAAGGGTCCCATCTATCAGCTCGACCCCGAGCCGAGCAACTCCATCGGCAAGCGTTCGCTTGGACACATCTCGAACTACTACCTCGGGGAGCCGCCGACTGACGAGGAAGTTGCTGCTATCCAGGCCGCGGCCGAGAAGCTCAGCCTCTCCGTTTTGAACACTCGGTGAGTTGTCAGATCGATCCAACATTTGGACCTGGAAGGGGGAGACTGAGCGTGGTCGTGTGCAGTGTACGGAAGGATAGCCCTGATACGTTCGCGCTCCTCATCGCGTCCGCGGAGACTAAGCCCAAGGAGGTTCATGAGTTCAAGATTGGCGAGAGGCACGCGAAGCTGAGCATCGAGTATGGCGACTTCTCCGATGCCCTAAAGAAGGCCGCGGACGCGCTGGAAGAGGTAAGCTTTCCTCACAAGAGCATATCTCCACAAAAACGCAGACTGAAGGCGCCGACTATATCAGGCGAAGAAGTACGCTGCTAACGACCACCAAGTCGGCTTCCTTGAGAAGTACATCGAGTCGTAGGTCGCCCGTCTCGCTTCTGAAGTGGACCATTCTTATAATGTGGCGAACCCATACAGATTCAGGACCGGTTCTATTGAGGCCCACATCAAGGGTTCCGAACACTGGGTACGGGATGTCGGTCCCGTCGTCGAGAGCTACATCGGCTTCATCGAGACTTACGTCGACCCCTATGGTGGCCGTGCTGAGTGGGAAGGCTTCACTGCGATCGTCGACAAGACCCTGAGCGCGAAGTACGAGAAGCTCGTGAACGATGCCCCCGAGCTGATCAAGGTCTTGCCGTGGGGCAAGGACTTCGAGGTCGATGTCTTCCGCAAGCCGGACTTCACGGCACTGGAGGTGTTGACGTTTGCTACGGGAGGTATCCCTGCGGGTATCAATGTGAGTGCCTGGATCAAGCTGTTGTGGACTGTAGGCTGACCTGCTTGTTTCTAGATCCCAAACTACTATGAGATTCGGGAGGCACATGGGTTCAAGAACGTGTCATTGGCCGTGAGTCAATGTGCTTTAGTAGGTTTGTTTGGTCGACCTTGAATTGTCTGGTAGAACATCCTGGCAGCCAAGGCACCCAGTCAGTTCTAGATCATTCCTGCCCCGTATCTTCCGATGCTCACCAGGAATGCAGATGAGGAGCTGACCTTCATCCACCCCGACGACGTCGAGCTCTTCAATAAATGGGACTCGCGTGCTTTCGAGCTTCTCGTCGCGAACCACGAGCTCCTCGGCCATGGAACCGGTAAGCTCTTCAATGAGACCGCGGATGGCACGAAGAACTTCGACCCTGAGAAGGTCATCAACCCTCTCACTGGCAAGCCCATGTATGTCGTTGAGCGAGCATTCGACGAGCTAGTTGTTGATATCTACAAATAGCACCTCCTGGTACAAGCCTGGGCAGAGCTGGGGCACCGTGCTGGGAGAGGTAGCCTCGTCCATGGAGGAATGCCGCGCTGACACTGTAGGCCTATACCGTAAGTGACATCTGTCGTCCAGTGGCGTTCATATCGACGATGACCTGGATCGGCAGTGAGCAGCAACAGGGACATCCTCAACATCTTCAAATACACAGACCAGCAAGACATCGACGACATCCAGTACATCACCTTCCTCCTTACCGCCCGCGCCGGCGTCCGTGCCCTCGAGTTCTACGACCCCGTCAACAAGAAGCACGGCCAGGCGCACATGCAGGCCCGGTGCGTCCCCGCGCTCCCATAGATGCACGCTGATGATGTTGATATGGCAGGCCAGCCTGGGCATCACCCAGCACCTGATCAAGTCGGGCATTGCACGCCTAGAGGAGGTCCGCGCTGCGGACGGGACGCTCGAGAACGCGTACGTGCGCGTCGACCGCGAGATGGTACTGAAGGAGGGCAGGGATGCCGTGGGCAGGCTCCTTGTCAACATCCAGGTCAGGAAGAGCACCGCGGACGGTCCTGGGGCGCGCGAGTACTACACGGAGCTCACGACACCCCTGCCGGGCTGGGAGGGCGAGCTCCGGGACCTTGTGCTGAAAAAGAAGCTGGTACGTCGTTCTCTCTGTCTCATCTCCCTTAGCCGCCCCTGTTCGGAGCAGCGCTACCTTTGGTGCACGGAGGCGATTTGTGTCCGGTGCTGACGTGTTGCTCCTCGCGGTCGGTGCCTGTAGCCGCGCAAAATTTTCGTGCAGCCGAACACGTTCGTCCAAGGGGACGAGGTCGTGCTCAAGGAGTACCCGCTTAACCCCGCCGGTGCCATCGAAAGCTTCATCGAGCGCAAGCTCTGAGTGCGATCGGCACTCAGTCTCTTGGTGTTCCCAGTCTCTAGGGGGAGGGAACGTGCTCGGGTTCTTGGCAGTAGCTGCACGTTGTCGCACCAAGATAAAACTATATAATAAGGTTGCTATGGAAGCTCTTGGGTTTTGTGGCGTTTTGCATATCATGTGCTCCACAGCAGCGCGTGGGCGCAGGTTTACCACTGAGAGGTCTCTTAGCCACTCGCACACCCACGCCAAGGTAAAGGCTTCACCTCTTTCCAGTAGCGATGTTGACCGTATACTAAGAACACGAGGGTGAAGACGAGCTCGAGGGGAAGCAAACAAACGTGTGTGTGAAAGAAGTCTATGTCTATGTGATTGGTCTATGTGATTGCTGCGGGCGGGCGAGAGCATGCGGTGCGTCTAATTGATACAGGAATGACGTGCAGTCAGAACAATGAGCATGAAGGCGCGAGAATGCCAACGTGGAGGTAAGCGTGAGGAAGGTCATGGGCATGGATGCCCCCAGTGCCGATCGTGTCTAAGTGCAAGGAGATCTAAAGCCAAAGTAGTGGACCATCGTGCCAGCCGAGGAGAGTACGACTCTCGAGGCTTAGTAGGAGGGAAAGCATGAGAAGACCGGAGGAAGGGTCGTCCCAGGAAGCCGGAATAGATGACATGCAGTAGATGCCGTAGAAGATGTCCGTGAGCGTCATGCATGGATAGGCCGCAGTCAGTTGGCTACAGCAGGAGAAGCGCGACAGCTGTAAGAGCCCTAGAGAGATCCCGCCACTGTCAGCTCCATATTGACACCAAAACGGAAGCGAGAGAGACGTACGAAGAAGCGATGAACATGAAGATGTCTGGAAACACGGATTAGCTTTGTATTACGTCGCGTTCACTGACAGTGGATGCTTACATTGGACGAGTAAGCATGCCTGTTATAAAGCCGTAAGCGGTTGGCAGGGATGCACAGTAAACATAATGAGCGATCTATGCTTACCGAGAGATTATCGACATTCCCGTCCGGCGCGTAGAGCGAAGCGACGATCAGCTGGCTGTCGTCCCGAGCATGTCAGTCCCATTCCATGAGCCACACATAGGATTGGATAGAGCGCACTTGACAGCGGTCGGCGTCCCGCTCAAGAACATCATGACGAACCGCAAGGCCTTCTCGTCCTTCTGGACCAAGCCGGCCCCGGTCATCGCCTGAACGAGGAAGATGCCGATCACGGGGAGCATGATCATCTTCGCGAAGGTGGAGAGGAACATGGCCATGATGGGCAGGCGCGAGAGCGGGCGGGGCAGCTTGATGCGTGCGAAGCTTGCGCCGAGGAGGACGAGCGCGAGGGGCACGGTGATCCCGCCCATGAAGTTGGCTAAGTAGCGGGTTGATCAGCTCCGTGTTGCCCGAGAAAATAGACAGGGGGAAGACGCACCGGTGTCGATCATGAACGCCAGCGGGGGACGGCCGTCAGGGCCCTTGAAGCTCGGCCCGCCAGTGGCAGAGACGTCGACGAACAGCGCCTTGAGCGGCTGGACGAGCGCGATGGGCAGCGACACGGCGAGTGTGCATGTGACGGGGGTAACGATCGCACCGAGGGGCCTGAACACACGCACGATCTTCTGGGGAAGCGTCGGGGTGTGCAGGGTCTCGCTGCGCTGCGCTATGCTCTGCGTCTCGAGGTCGCGTGCAGACTGGGCGGGGGAGGGCGGGGGAGCAGAAGGGATCGCGGAGGGCGCCGCGGCCGCGGACAGGGATGGTCGGCGATGTGGCATCGGAACTGAAGCGGTGGAGATTCGAGACGTCCTGCGCGCGAGCTGGACGTCGGGGTCGGACTCTGCGGTGTCGTCGATGCCTTCAGACCGGCGCAGCTCAGAGACCGGGATGGCACCGTCGGTCCCTGCGTTCTTCTCCTTTTCGGAGAAAGATTCCTCGATATCCTTGGTCTTGTCGGCCTCGATCGCCGCTGCGGCGAAGGAGTTCGGGGGCTCCTGGCGGAGGATGTAGCGCGTAATTAGCGAGCCAATGGGCTTCTCTTTCCAGGATACGCGGACCTCCGCTGCTTCGCCTTGCGGGACGCCGGGTCGGAAGTCCCATGATAGGGAATGGGCCGCACCGCCCATCCAGAACACGAGGTGGTAGGACACGATGAATATAGACACGTAAGAAACGCCCACTAAAGTTTAGCGAAGCGTCAGCGACCAGGAGCGAAAAATTTGCGGGATCGCGAGGTACTCACGAGCGGGATCGGTGGCTGGGTTGAAGGGAGCCTGTTGCGTGATGGAGAGGACGACCGCAGTCGCTGGATGAGTAGCAGGGACGTCATTTAAAGGTAAGTCTTGGCTGACTAGGGATATATACTTACGAAGGTTTCCCCAGTTGCTCATACCAGTCATAACAATTACACCTTGCCAGAAGTTGCGGGGAACGTAGCATACTTCACGAATGATCAAGCCGCTTAGGAAACCGATAGCCTGATACGTGAACGCGATCAAAAACAAAGGCCCCAAAGCTGATATGTTCGAGGGCGTGAAGGCAGGAACGACGTTCGCGAAGATGAGCGCAGGGAGGGCCATGTTCATGGTGATATGAGAGGTACCACGAGAGGCGGCCGGAGGGAACATGCCCATCTTTGCGGCGGCATAGCCGGCGATGATCGTAAAGAATCTGCGACACACAGTTGAGTACCCTTTGATGTGAACAAAAGTGAGAAGTTAGAGATAAATACGTCTTGAGAAGTGGCATAATGCCTGAGTAAACTAGGAAAGCGGCGGACGGCATGACGACAGCAGACTCGGTATCTTGACGAGTCGAGCTGGGAGAGAGGGCACAGTACGTGTGTGGCGAACCAACACCCTGGGGAGAGACCCGGCGGTCTTTATACCGCTCGCGAGCGGCGCGTGCTGGGAGGCCGAGCGAAGTGGAGGCGGTAGAAGAGACGTGTGTGAGGAGACGAACATAGCGGCTCTTCTTTTGATATATCGGCAGACCAGGCTAGCGTTTATGCCGTTTCGACCGATATCGTCCACCTATTTTCGGACGAAGTCTTCCCGGCCCGGGCTTCCGTCTCGAGCGCTGAGTGACCGGATGTCCGCGAACGAACGCTTCCCAACCTTCGCTGCTACATTCTCGGCTCGGATCGCTCGTTCGTGCTCCTCTGCCGTCGTCTACGCTTGTTCTCGACAGCGAGACTCTTGGTATTAGCAATGCCCGCTCTTGGCTTTCGCTGGGCTCCGCTTCTCAACGATGCGCAGCACAGACATATGAGAAGCCTTCGCATGAGCTACAGTGCGCCGGTACGCACCCCACCCGCTTCCCTATCGTGCTTGGCTTGGGTGCTTGGAGACCGTCGAGACATGCGTCTGCGGATTCTATCTCGTACAACGCCGCCGATGGCGCCACCGAATTGTCGCACGAAGATCCTGTGAAGCGCCACGAAGGAACGCGACGGCGACTGCGCGCATTCTGCCTTCTGAATCTCTTGGCTCGGGCTCTGTTTCTGGGAAACGCCGGAGGGCGCGTGTGCGTTTGTGTACGCGGACACTAGTCTAAACAGCCCGCGCTGTGTGACGCGGGCGATCTTCGTGGTTGCACTTTGTGACTGCGGCGGCCCCCCGCGTGCAGCCCCGGAGGATGTTGTCGCAGTTCTTTTGGATGCATGGGAAATGCAGATGGTAGGCGGTGCACTCTCCGCGAAGCCGTGGGACATGGCAGCAATTGAGGGCGTGCTTGGAAGCCGCAATATCAGCTCCAAGCCCGGGAAGAAGTGCGTACGCGATGCGTCCGGTTGCATCTGCATCGACGTAAGCTGTCCTTGAGTTCGCTTATCGCCACCTCGTCGACGTGTGTTGGGAGCTCCGAGGAGCTTTCGCGGTGTCTTGGCTCTTCGCTGTCGGATGTCACCAGCCGGAGTGTTTCGAAGCCGTAAGTAGGGGCAGGCAAGGAAGAAAGGAAGGGTACCGAAAGACCTCCGCCTCGATTTCTATGGAGTGGCGTACTGAGATCCTGCCTCCCTTCCTTACCCGCCCAGGATAGTGCTTATGCTTGACTATAGCGGGTCTCGAGATATGTCAACATCGTGGGTTACATACTAAACACTATAGGATACACGACTCAGTGTCTCATAAACCTCTGCTCACGACAGGTGATACAGACAGACACCTCCGCGGAGCACTCCATGGTATCGCCGGCGAAACATATGCGGCGGTGCACCTAGCAAATTTCTGCACTCGAGCTCCTGACAATCGCAAGAGGCACATTCATACCACTTGTCACAGCCTGGTGCGACGATGTGTTGTCTTTGTCACCAAGAGAGCACTGCTTTACCTCAAGAACACGACATATCTTCGGACTCTGCCCCACACTGATGTCCTGGAGGCTGCTGCTATGCCGGCCAGGTCTACGAGTCCCATTTCGCAAGCCTGAGAGACCAGCTCGATCATGCAGGCACCCGGAAGGCCTGGAAGGTTGTTTCGTCCAGAGTTACTCACACGCCAACCCCACTCGAAACTATCCTTCTGAGCAAAGTCGTGGCCAGCTCAGGATGTTTGGGACGTGGGTGCGCGCCGTAATACCTTGAGCCTCTGACGAGATTGTTTATTAGGTACTCAGCTCAATGCCGGAGCTCTGGTATCAGGTGATCGTGGTGCTTCCTTATCAACAGCTGACGCGATATCCCGTCAAACATTCATTATTGCAGTCCATTGATAGTGGCGGCGTTGAAGCTCGAGTCATTTGCGTCTGTCAGTGTACATGTAGTGTGAGGAATCAGTGGGTTTGTAGAGATGAGCAGGTTGCACATTACAGCAATGGAGCGTTGCTCATGAATGGCGTTGATACTGCGGGGATCAGGTGGAACTATGACTCGAGCTGGAAAACTGTACATACGCGGCATTCCCATCTTCCGGGTATGTTCCTGATGGCGAAAGGTCAACGCTTGCACGAGGAACATGCTGTGGAGAGACTACGCTTTGTGCCTTGGCGGCAGAACACTGATGACAAAACAACCGCAGAAACAACCTTCAGGCGAAATTCGAATTACACTTCGCAGACGATAATCGCAAGGTTCTGAGAATGCTCAGACTCTGTGCCGTAGTCGCTCGAAAGTCATGGGGACGTGGCCGAGAGCGATGGATACGTTTACAACATGGTCGCGCGTTGACTGAAGGGTTGTGACCGAACGCGTCACAGGAAGCTGATGAAATCGAGATCTCGGTGCTGACCTGAGTGCGATCGACACTAAAAACGGCAGTTGCGAGTCGTAGACGCGGTCAGACGGGCGATGGTTGGCACAGGCGGGGCCGGGGGGCAGGTTGGGAGTCAGCAACGTACATATCTTTGTCTGCACCTCGGAACGCGTCCACCACCGTCTCTGTTTCTTGTTCTCCGCCATGGCCGCCACCTGGCTCGCGCCGACGTGGCTGCAGTCGTCTCAGACAGTGTTGGACAGGCTTACCTTGCTGGCTCATCCTTCTGGGACATACAATGCGTACCGGACTGCCGACAGCGACGAACAGTACGTGCAATCTCCCAGCAGCGCATACAACAAGATATATTGACACGCAATGATACCCACCAAGAACGAGGATATGGAAGAATACACTCGCGTATCCCGCGGGAGTCGCGGTGGTATCCGCATTTGTCCTCGCTCTCCAACTCACCGCTCGTGCGACTCCCGTCAGAAGGATACTTGCAAGACTCTCCAAGTCTGATGTAGAGGGCGACGGCGCTGACGACATCGAGGCTACGGGGAGCGACGGTCAACCTCTCTCACACGTTGCACAGCTGGGCGGTCCTGTTATCTATGGGTTCAAGGTCGTCCGCTTCCTCTCCACTCTCGCACTCTTGGGCCTGTCTATCGCAACGCTCATCTTGAACGACCGTAACGACGACTCGGAGTACTCCTTTGATCCGCGTTGGGTTGCGTTTGGGTTCATTGGGACATACGTACGCCTGCCTCCGCAACTATCCCGATCCGTTTTGACCGACGCGCATCTCACAGGCTTACTTGTCTTTGCTGGGATTCGCGTCTCTGGTTACGAATCTGCATCTGAGCAGGCTCGTAACGAGACATTTGGTGACCGTTCTCCTTGTGACCTGGATCGTTTACGTGTATCGTGATCTCTGGCCGCTCGCGACTTTCACTCTCCAGCCTGCTGATGCCTCAGAGGGATCCCTCCTATGGGCGAAGGTCGGCGTTTTGACCTTCGCTGCCGTCATCATTCCTCTGGTGGTGCCACGCCAGTACATCCCTGTCGATCCCAAGGTGCGCGGCCAGCTCGCTCACCCGTGGGTCCGTCATAACGTTTCAGCTCAGGAGCCCTCCGAGAATGTGAACCCCGAGCAAACGGCATCTATCCTGTCCATGTCTGTCTTCAGCTGGCTCGACAACATCATTTGGAAGGCATATAAAGTTCCCCACCTCCCATACGAGGAGCTTCCACCAATTGCAGATTACGATCGTGCCAAACACCTCGTTGCCAGGGCGTTCCCGGTAGGTATTCTACGATTCTTGGTCTTTCCGGTTGGTCTCAGACACAACAGATTCTCGACCCCTTCCAAGCCGGCAAGAGACGTCATGTCTTCTGGAGTCTCATGACTGTCTTCCGATGGGAGTACACGGTGCTGTCCGTGCTCATACTTCTCCGAGTAAGAAATGGGCGACTGGTGGATAGGACTATTGCTCAGTTTTGGATAGGTTGTTGCTACATTCACAAGTCCCATCGGGATCTATCAGCTGCTCCAGTGCGTGTTTAACTTGGTATCGCGTGTCGGAATGGCTGCTCATCAAAGATCAGGTATCTTGAGACCAACGGGGAGGGAGCCGTGGTGCGTCCATGGGTCTGGATCTCGTGGCTGTTCTTCGGACCGATCCTTGGGTCCGCTGCCTTCCAATACTACATATTCAACACCGTAAGTGTCGGTTGCCATACTTCATTTGTGCGAGTACTGATGGGCCTTTCACTTAGACACGCATGCTCGTCCGCTGCGAAGCCATCATCACGCAGCTCATCTTCGATCACTCGCTCCGCATCCGCATGAAGGCGGAAACGGTTGACACTCCCGCCCCAAGCCGTGCGACGACCGCCGCGCAGACCCCAGATAACGCATCCATTGCCGAGCCCGATCCGACGGAGGCTGATGCAGGCGGCACGAGCTCGAGCGGAAGCGAGGACGAGACGATCGTGCGTGCCAGCACGCTCAGCGCCACGAGCACGACAGCGACAGCGGTTGCGAAGAAGAAGGAACCCGCAAAGAAGACGGAGGAGCCTGCGCCCGAGCCCAAGAAGGAGTCGACGCCAACTGGAAACCTGATTGGCAGGATCAACAACTTGGTATCAACGGACTTGAACAACGTCATCGATGGTCGTGACTTCTTGTTCGTCTGTGCGTGTTTTCTTGAGTCTGCCCTGAGTGCATAGGTTCTCACACTGGCTTCCTTTGGGCAGTGCTCTATGCGCCTGTGCAGGCTGGATTGTCGGTCTTCTTCCTGTACTCGATCCTTGGATGGAGGTAGGTCCCAAAACTCGAGTGTGCAATCTGTCTGGTCCTCAGGGCCGCTTGTAGTGCGTTTGTGGGGATGATCGCCATGATCCTCCTTTTCCCTATTCCTGGATACATCGCTTCCAAGATCCAAGGTGTTCAGCAGGAAAAAATGAAGAAGGTACGCAATGTCTCAATGTGTCGTTCTCCATCGTATGGAAGATTCATTTGCCGTATCCCAGACCGATGCGCGTGTGCAAAACGTGACCGAGAGTATGTTCTTTTGCCAAATTTGTGTTATCCGAGGGAATGCTCAAGAGAGTGTCAAGCCATGAGCGTCATCCGCATGATCAAGCTGTTTGGTTGGGAGCCTCGCGTGACCGATAGACTGGCGGACAAGCGAGAGGGCGAGCTTTTATTCATCCGGAAGTATAAGATACTCGAGCTGATCAACGGCAACGTCAAGTCCGTTTCCAATGTTCTTGCTTTACGCGCTTAATCACTAACAAACTGTGTAGCTTCGTGATTCCAATCGTCACGATGGTTGCCACCTTTGCCACATACGTACGTTATCAGCGTCCTCAGTCTTTGGGGTGTCGATGATCCTAACGAGGATCCTATAGACTCTCGCTGCTGGCCAAGTGCTGACCGCCTCGCGCGTGTTCTCGGCTATGGCTGGTGAGATTAGAGCCTCATTCACGATGTGCCTTGCGTTCTGACCGATAGGCTCCAGTCTTTGACATCCTCCGTGATCAGCTCCACCAGCTCTTTGGTTATCTGCCACCAATCATCCAGGCCAAGGTGTCCCTCGACCGTATCACTGACTTCCTGAACAAGACTGAGCTCCTCGATGAATTTGACGAGAAGGACGCCGCGGCCGCCGAGGCTGTCGTCCCGCCCCGCACTGTCGAGAGCGACGTGATCGGCATTCGCGGTGCGTCCTTCACCTGGTCGAAGGACAACGACGGTTCCAAGACACCCGGCACCCCCGGCCCGAACCGCCGTAACTTCACCCTTCGTATCGAGGATGAGGTAACGTTCAGGCGCGGACGAATCAACCTAATCCTAGGCCCTACAGGGTCGGGTAAGACTTCGCTGCTGATGGCGCTTCTTGGAGAGTTGCACTACATTCCGAACGGCCCTGACTCGTACGTCAGCCTCCCACGCGCGGGCGGTATCGCGTACGCGGCGCAGGAGTCGTGGGTACAAAATGAGACAATCAAGGACAACATTCTCTTCGGCGCGCCGTACGACGAGGAGCGGTACAACAAGGTTCTCGAGCAGTGTGCGCTCAAGCGCGACCTCTCGCTCTTCGACGCGGGCGACTTGACTGAGGTCGGCGAGAAGGGGCTCACGTTGAGTGGAGGGCAAAAGGCACGGATTACACTCGCGCGAGCTGTGTACTCGAAAGCGGAGATTTTGCTGCTGGACGACGTGCTTGCGGCCCTGGACGTGCACACTGCGCGGTGGATTGTAGACAAGTGCTTCAAGGGCGACTTGCTCCGCGGACGCACCGTCATCCTCGTGGTATGTGATGTGGTGTTTTTTCTCCCTACATAGTTGTTGCTGGGATGCTAAAGGGGGCGGTCCGCAGACGCACAATGTGGCGATCACGAGCCCCATTGCGGATTTTGTCGTCTCTCTCAGTTCCGACGGGCGCGTTGCTAGTGAAGGCACGCTCTCCAAGGCCCTTGCCAAGGACCAGACGTTATCCCGCGAGTTCGGAGATCAGCGCGAGGAGCTCAAGAAGAGCGAAGGCGAGGTCGATGCCGTCGAGCCTGACGACGAAGCAGCCCCCAAGAAGGGTGATGGCAAGCTTATCGTCGCCGAGGAAATCTCTGAGGGGCATGTTAGTTGGCAGGCTCGTGAGTCCCGTTATCTACTTTGAGTGAGAGAGAGGGATGGGGCGACTCATAATCATTCCTCCCGCAGTACGTCTATACCTGTCAAGTATGACTGGCGGCTACACACTCCTCTTCTGGCTCGGGGTGCTGGTCCTGTTGGGCTTGTGCGAGTTTTTCAATGTCGTTGAGACCTGGTGGCTTGGATATTGGGCTCAGCAATACGAGGACACCAATCCGAGCGACGTTAATGTGGCATAGTGAGTGGCTTTCCCTTCGCGTCCAGCCGAATATCAGTGCTCATAGAGAATCATAGCTACCTCACGGTTTACAACGTTATGCTCATTACCGGTATCACCTTGTATTGCTCCAGCTTCGTCATCTATCTGTTCGGTGTCCTCCGGGCATCTCGTTCGATTCATGCGACGTTGATTCGCTCCGTGCTCAGCGCGACGTTGAGATGGCTCGACAAAACACCCACGTCCAGAATCATCGCCCGTTGCACTCAGGATATACAGTGCAGTACGTACGCGCATGGAATATGACTAGAGCGGCTGTAGCTGACTACATTACAGTTGATGGCCAACTCGCGAATACCCTCAACTGGCTCATCGAGCTGACCGTAGCAATGCTCGGGAAGTTCCTTGCTGTTGTCACGTTCTCCCCTATCTTCATCATCCCGGGTGTCGTCATTTCCGCCATTGGTTCTTGGTGTGGTCAAATCTATATCAAGGCCCAGCTGTCCGTAAAGCGCGAGATGTCCAACGCCAAGGCACCCGTCCTTGGCCACTTTGGTGCTGCTATCGCCGGCTTGAGTGAGTTGCTTCCCTACACATGCTATACTTTCGTGCACTGAACGGATCTCATAGCATCCATTCGTGCCTATGGGGCTCAGGAGTACTTTAGGCAGGAGTCGTACCGCAGGATCGATAAGTATGTCCGTGCGGCGCGTACGTTCTACAATCTCAATCGCTGGGTCTCCATCCGCATCGAGGCTCTTGGGTCTCTGTTCGCTTCCTGCCTCGCCGCATATCTCGTGTATGGAGCGAAAACTAGGGCGGCGAACATTGGTTTCTCCTTGAATATGGCCGGTATGTGTCCCCTGAATCTAGGTGATTGCGGATTGATTGACTGCCAATCAAGTCGGTTTCAGCAGCATGATTTTGTGGTGGATTCGTGTCCTGAACGAGTTTGAAGTGAACGGAAACAGGTGCGCTATGGACCGCTTCGTCACATTGAGTCGTATTGCAGATCTCAAGGGGTCGTTAGCCTGGAACGAATTCAGCAATACGTCACGATCGAGCAGGAAGAAAAACCTACTAGCGATGGGATTCCTCCCGCATACTGGCCTGCTAGCGGGAGTCTCCGTGTAGAGAAGCTTTCCGCCCGCTACTCGGTAGACGGTCCTCGTGTTCTCCACGAGATCTCTTTCGAGGTCAAGTCTGGCGAGCGTGTCGGAATTGGTGGGTTATGTAACCCACTGCACGCTGCGTTCCTGCGCTCAAAAGTCTCTAGTTGGTCGGACGGGCAGTGGCAAGAGCTCGTTGACTCTCGCGCTTCTCCGTTTGATTATAACTGAGGGCAAGGTTTACTATGATGGTATCGCCACAGACTCTGTCAACCTCGATGCTCTCCGCTCGCACATCACCATCATCCCTCAAGTCCCGGAACTTCTCAGCGGCACACTCCGCGAGAACCTCGATCCATTCTCGCAGTATGATGATGCTGTCCTGAATGATGCCCTGCGTGCCGCGGGTCTGTTCTCCTTGCAGAGCGATACGGAAGAAGGACGCATCACGCTTGATTCGCAGATCTCTAGTGGTGGAAGCAACCTTTCCGTTGGCCAGCGTCAAATACTCGCACTCGCTCGTGCGATCGTGCGTCAGAGCAAGCTGCTCATCCTCGATGAAGCGACATCTGCTATTGGTACGTTCCTCCAAATTGCCGGCAGATTCGTGAGAGGTCCTGAGCACTTTGGTTGCAGATTATGAGACCGATGAAGTGATTCAAAAGTCACTTCGCGAGGAGTTGGGTAATGATGTTACCCTTCTTACGATCGCGCATCGATTGCAGACAATCATGGACGCGGACAAAATCGTGCGTATCCCGTCCATCTTGCTGATCTCCTATTTGGCTCACTTGCATTTTCCTCCCAGCTCGTGCTTGATGCCGGTCGCATTGTAAGTTTAAGGGCAGTTTAATGTCGTATGTCGTCACTGACGCATCGTTTAGGCCGAGTTTGGCGCTCCAGCTGAGCTTCTCAAGAACGAGAAGGGCATGCTTCGTGCCTTGGTCGATGAAAGCGGTGACAAAGAGAAGCTCTATGCGATGGCCGGCTCGAGGTGAGATTAGTATCTCCAGACTTCCAGGATAGCGATCGGTGATGTGGATATGTGGTATCTAAGTCTGTATTTGCGACATCCAGCTAGAGCACTAGAGTCGAGGGTCCTATGCGACACCTACACCTAACACACCGTATATACTTTTCAGTACTATTAAGTGGACAATGGTTCCTTTGCAATCTTACTGGAATCAAGCATAGTGCAAGTGAAAATGTCATGACAGTTCGACATAATCCTATTGTTCCTGTCAGTGACAGCCTCTGCGCACAGAGTAGCTTTGATTGTGGTTTGTGATATCTTCATGACTCGTTTCGCATTGCGTTCCTCCTGATCTCGTCGAGGTCGATCACCTTGAACGACCAGGGTCGGCCAGGATCCCCCGCTCTGCATCATTCCAAGTTCCGAACAGCGAAGTTTGTTAGTCAAGGGATGCCAAGGGGGAAGTGTGCTTGACCAACAATGTCCGCTTGCAGGGGGGCCTCGTGACGCACCTTCACAGTTCTGTAAGTCTAGTTTGGTGCGCATGCGGAGGGCTCGACGAGGAAAGCAATCACAATCGTCGGAGCATACATCAAGGAGATCCCGCATATTTAGAAGTCCCTTTGAGAGCACGTCGCGCATCCCGCTCTTCCTTCAAGCCGGCGATCTCCTTGACACTCACGACTCGGAATGGCCACGTAAGCCAGGTTCCTCCGCTGCGCATCACCTTGAGTCCCATGTCCTCCAACAGATCGTCTGCGACTTGGGGCCAGCTGCGGAGAGATGGTGTTCACGGTCAGAGCGACAAGCCGTATGAGAGAGATGTTCGACTCACCCCCAGAAGCCGATATTGCTGGTGTGGCTGCTATTCGCTGTAGGTGCGACCTGCGGGTACCGGTGCCTCAGCCATGCAGCCTGTCGCTCTGTCTCTTCTAGAGCGACTTCTGACGTCGCAGGGAGACGCATGTCGTCCTCGAGGAAGTAGGAAGATATCCAGTGCGAGCCGACTTCGAGCATGTATCCAAAGTGTGTCGAGAACTGTCAAGACGAATACAATATGAGGAGCTTTCAGGGTGCTGCATGAAGCGAGGACGTACGATTGCTCCATTCACTGCGAAGTCGCGGCGCTCGATATTCTTTGCGGGGACTATACCCCTATAGATGGACGACGACCAGCGTTCAGCGACTGGGTTCAGGGGAGGAGGGTCCCTTAGGGTCAGATAGTCCCAGCGATAGGGCTGGCTTTGGTAAGCTAAGTGCGGCTTGAGGCCCAATTCCTCTTGGGCCTCTTCTGCAAGGAGTAATTGAGCAAACACATCAGATGAGGCGCATATACGAAATGGGAGTACCATCGAACATGGCAGACCACGATGAGTGATAGCCGGTTGCAAGCACAATGGCGCTGGCACGGATGGACACTCCGTTATCAAGTAAGACCGACTCCCCGTCCGTACCGAAACTCGTAGCGTAGGCTGGGGATACGACGGAAATCTTTCCGGAGAGAGTGAGCGCATGAAACCCGTTCGGACGCGGGACGCCTTCGTCATTCACGCGATCGTGCCAGAATGGAGAGACGGTGTTGCGCAAGGGGGAGCCTAGTGGGATGCCAGCAGCCTTGAACTGTTGAGATGGTGTGCAGAACGTTTGAACTCAATGGCCGACGTTGCAAGAATTGTGGAGCTTACGGAGGCGCTGACGAGTCCGGTCCAGAAAAGGTCAAAGAGCTTTTTGCCCAGCCATGTAGTATGGACGAATCGTCTTTAATGGTGGTCAGTATCGTGCAAGAAGATATGATACGCGAAGAGCTCACTCCAACCACGTCCGCAAGTAGATATGAGGTGAAAATAGGGAGAGCAATCTAGGAGCATGATACTCAGCATGACACGTTTCGCGAGAGGACTGATCTAGCGCCGCTTCCCTGCTCTTTCGCACCCAATTTGGGAGAGGCTCACTAGCAGCGAGGAACGCGTCGAAGTTCGGGCACACGATCGTCACCTTGCGACCTTCATTAGCAAGGTAAGCGGCTATGCTAAAAAAGTGCAATGATCAGATGTCAATAGAGGGAAGCGCAAATATTCGATCACTCGCTCTTGTGCAGATTTCCCGCCTCCAACGACAAGTACCGTAGGGGAATCAGGCTCGGCGCTAGATACGGCGGGAGGGACAGATGCCAGCAGATCGCTCAACTTGGACCCGAAGTCGGCGCTATGGAAGACGATCCCCTTGAAGCCGGATGCAGCTGCAGACTCTGGGCTCATGTTGGGAGGGAATCTTGGCGCGCTTTGTCCCTATGCATAATACCAACAGTTTGCGAGGTTGCACTCGAGTCTGGAGTAGAGCACCTACCCCTGTGCATAGCACCACACGTCGATAATGGCGAACCTCGGTGAGACCAGTCTTGCGATGGTGCACTCGGACCCGCCACCCTGTTCCGGAAGGAGGTCGCTCGATGCGCACGACTTCAACCCCGTACTGAATCTTGTCCTTGAGGAACTTGGACCCGAAGGTCTCTAGATACGCGCCTACCTCGTCTCCCGACGTACGCCCGCAGTCTGACGCGGGAGGAGGCATGCTCAACGCCGAAACGCAGTATTCGCCATGTACGCTGGATATGGACAACACATGAGCGTTCTAATGGGCAAAGCGAGTGTAATACATACCTGTTGAGATACAAACCAGGGTAGGTCTTCCCTTGCGCCCAATTCCCTCCAACGTGGGCATCACGCGTTAGCACCTGCACGTCCTCGAATCCATCGCGAATGAGTGTGTATGCGGTGATGAGACCTGCCAGCCCAGCACCGACTACAGCGATCGCTCCGTTCCGGGGATGGTTGTCACGTCCATCTCTGCGTTGCTGCATGTAAATGGCATAAAGACGAGCGCTTGAACAGATGAGGTGGCGTGAAGATGAAGGTTGAGCTCTTGGGACCTTGGTTTCGAAACTGAAAGTTGCTACCACGGTCGTGACGCACGGAGTGCAACACCAACACTCGGCGCCCCGGATTTATATGACGCTCTCAGTTCGCACGCTCCTTGACTTGCATACAGTCTCCCAAAGCTAGAATGAATGCGTGCAAAGCATTGCACGCTACATAGCAGCGCTACATACTAATAGCCCAAACCGGAGATCCGATCGCGAACGGCCACCGCGAGGCCGGGGACCGACCAATGACCCTGTCGGCGGAGAAGAGCGAGCCGAAGGAGGTTCTGCGCATCCACTCATGTTGCACCGTCCGCCATGAATTCGAGGAGTAGTATAACCAAGCTGTACCGTCAAACAGCGAACTGTGGAATTCACGATACCGTTAGGGAGAGGGTCTTTGCGGTTGCATCGACACGCGGAGGCATCCCTAGAGTCCGCGTTCCCGACCGCCCAAAACATAACTGATGAGAGAGCAGCACGGACTAGGGGACTGATCTGATGTCGACTGCTTTCATGTTGCGAAAAGAGCAATACTAGTGTGACCCCAGAAGCTACGGATTAAGCGCCTGACCCCAGAAGCTACTGACACGCCTCCAGTTCTCGCATTTCCCTGTCAAAAAGTGTGCACGGGTTACACGCGAGAAGATGTACTTCAAAAATATCATTGTAAAAAACAAAGAAGGAAATCGGAAGGGATTTGCTCCCGATACAAGTCAATCTCAGTAGGGTTTCAAGGGTTTACTGACCTTGGTGAGCTGCCACAAAAAGATCTGCAGCGCCGATCTTTCTGTAACTTCGCAAAGTGTTCTGAACATTCTCAATAAACTTTCTTGTTCAGTCTCCGAAGGGTTCCGGGTTGCAGTATTCGAAAGATAGGAAGAGGTCTCTCGAGCGTGACATTCAGCCACTGACCGAGATAAAGCTGACTTTCAATCTGAGCGCTTCGACAATGTTGCCCCGGCCAACTTCGCTATCAAACGACTGATAACAGCGGTGTTTGAATCGGCAGTCTTCGGCATTGTGACCATCCATGACAATCTATGGGCGCTTT